ATTTAATTGTGGCGCTGCGTTCAAAGGGCAACGGTCAGGCAGTGGACAAAAAAAAAAAATAAGGGAAAATCGGGAGTGAATGGGAAAAGCGGGCAAAAGGAGTCTGTCGACCATTAAGATGAATGTGTGTCGGGTGCAAATGAAACTGAAAGTATTTTCGGTTCATTCATATGGGACGGAGGTTAAATGCCAAACCATTTGTTAACTGAAAATGCAGTCAAATGGGCGCCATTTAAAACCAAACCCGTAGAGTATCTGACATTGATATATGTTAATTTACAAAGTCATTCTGCGATTGAAATTAATTTGGTGGCGAATGCTTTAAAAAACAAAAAAACGAATAATAATTAAAGTTTACTTGTTAAGTGAACTTAACAACCACTACATAAATTGAAATGTGTGTCTCAAATTATCGTCATAAAATAGAGTAAAATAGTGATTTTAAATCACAGTAGTTCCGTGTCGCTTTTTCGCTCTTTTTAACATCCACATCAGCAATGAACTGTGGAATAAGTAATATAAATTTAGTCGAATTCCTTCGATATTGCACTTTGAATTGCGCCTGTTAAGCTCCCCATACAAATGGATGCAAATCAGAGAATTCGGGCGCATTCATTCAGGCATCGACTGTCATTCATTTGGTTTATTCACGTACGCCCGCCGCAATTATGATAATATGATGTGCACATGTCAGACCAAAATTCATACGCCATGTTGCCCATAGCACAACCAACACACGCACCCCCTCACATACACACACACACACACACACACACATGGATAAAGCCACACCCACACAGACGTTGACGGGCCCTCTCGAGTATGCAACATAATTGAAAGCTGCATGCGTCAACATAATTTTCTGACAACTTTAGTTAAGCATGTAAATTAAGTTAAAAATAACGATGACATTGGTTACATAAGCGCAAATGCATGCACAGACGGCGGGCGGTGAGCGGTGAACGGGGGCGTGGCATGCAAATGGGCGTGCGCGTGGGCGTGGCACTACTTTCTGCTCCTGCTTGCACAATTTTTCTTTTGGCTCAGGCTTTGGCACGACTGCTCGTAATTGGAGCGTGGAATATCACTCTTCATGTTATGACATTTTTCCGCCAACAGCGAATTAATTGTACACCGTAAGAAATGGACGACTATTTTAATTTAGTGTCAACATCACAGAAATGTTAAAATTATCCTTTCAGACACTGTTTTTCCGCCAGTTCGAAAACGCAAAACATAAAAATGTATATTGTAAAGCCCTGTTAAAAAAATTTAATTATTTGCCTTTATATGAAGTTAGGGAATATTAACCTTTATAAAATTAATCATAATCATTTCCTATGGACTTGTAGAAAACAAAAGCTGGGGCTAAAAAAAAAACATTTTCATTTATATAAAATTTAGAAATATTAAATTTCAATTATATTATTATATATTGTAATAATAATATAATATATTTTAAATTAATAAATTTTTTTTGAAAAATTAAGATAAGTTTTCCATTACTTTCAGCAACTGTTCTTTTTACTTTCAGTGCATTTGTCTGGCCTGCAACTCACAAGTATTTGCCCGCTGCACAGCGATCATGTGTAGGGGCGGTGGGTCACCCACAACGATGTTGCGGTAACGGTTGCACCACCCGCTTGCACACCATCCACAACCCACCGCCCAACCATCAACCACCCGACCACCCCTCACCCAGCAACCACATGCAAAGCAAACCATTAAGCAGCAACAGCGACGCGGCATTAGCAAAAATAAAAGGAGAAAAGGGGGGAAACGGCGAGCCAAGGTTACGCGCTACCTGAAAATACGACACACTCAAGCCCCCAGGACACGCAGCCAACCACCCACACCCACACCCACACCCACACACACACACACACCCACGTGGGAGAATACCTGGCCAAGATGAGGGAGCAAGGACCGTAAATAGCGACTACATCCTGCTCCTGTTGCAGAATTTTCTTGGCTCGCTGCGCGCTGCCCTTTTTGCATTTGCTATTTTCCATTTCCCATTTCCCCACTTCGAGGTCGCACATTGGGCGCCCTGAAGGCCCACTTGCGGGTTAAAGAAAGCGCTGAAAAGCGCTGTGCTGAAAATATAATCAAATATTTGAAATTATTCACAATACAGCTATTATTCCAAACTTGCTCAACAAGTCAAGTTCGACGGATAATTAGCTGAGAAACTAATGAATGCAATATTTAATCTCAATTTTGGTTTGAAATATTTGATGTGGACATTCCGGCCAATTAAAATATAAAAATTGTAAGCTATTTTAATTGCTATTAAGTTAACATTTCATGTGCTGCAAATGTTATTAAACGTTTTAAATTATTCACAATACAGCTAGTACAAACTTGCTGACAAAAATAATGAAAATGATGCAAAACTTGGTATGAAATTCCTACCAACTTAAATATAAAAATGGTAAACTATTTTAATTTCTGTCTATATATATAATAAAATATATATATGAATATTATTCTAGTAATTAATTCATTTTTGCATGAGGCACAAAAAGTTATTTTCCTCCATATAGCTTGTCTTAATTTTGCAATGACTTCATTAATATTTCGAAAGATGCCTTCAGAACCGGCCCATTTAATCTCGATTGTATTCCCCAAGTGTTAACATTTTGACAAGGCTCTTAAGCTGCTCGTTATTAAATCACAGCGAAAACAATTCCATTTGATCAAATAAATGAGCAGCGAAATTGTAAAGTCATTTACAACCTAAGTTGACATTATGGCCAATAAAGCTTTCGGCTTCAGCAGATAATCTATAAATCTGCGGTCGAAAATCGTTCGCCCTCCGCTTCATTATCGTTATCATCAGAAGAAGTGCCGAGAAACCGAGTTTTTCGGCAGCAGGGGGGGAAACTTTTTGTCTCTGGGAAAAGGAAAATGCTTGCGGGGAAATCTGGGGGAACCTTTATTAACGAGAACGCCCACAACGCCCGTAAAGTGCTTCATATTACGCCACTAATTGCATAATTTCGTTGCCATTTTTATTAGAGTTCCCTTGTGGGGGGCGGGGGGGGCGTGGCAGGTCCAATGACTGTCCGACTATATCCCCTATTTGCTCCCCATCCTTTTCACTTTCCATGCCATTTACGTTCGACAGGCGACTGGCAAAGTGGAGACTACTAAACGCGGACATCGACAAAGCTGACTATACTACATACAATATATGTAGTGGACCGTAAAAAAAGAGGGAGAAACCGTGAACGAGCATGAGAACGAGCACGAGTACGAGAACGAGTACGAGAACTGTCGCCCACAATTGCCATTAGATTATTATAAAACGGGACTATTTATTGCATAACATGTACATAGAAAAGAATGTAATGTCTCTGAATTGTCAGCGCTTTCAGAACGCTTCGCCACGGTTCAATGGCAGTCAAAACGGCCCAGAGATGCCACTTGAGTAGTGGCGAAAATATCGGTAAGTTCCTTGGTTAATTATTAATTGAAAATGCAAAGATTTGTTTTGGTAGCAATATAGTTCCAGAATATTTCACTATAATATATTTTTTTACCATGTTTTTATTTTCAATAAAATTAAAAGGTATAAATTGTATATAGATTATTATCATTACAACATTACACAACTTATTATTACATCATACCTATAAAATATTAAGTTAACTAATTTCTTTTCACGTTTTGTTCAAGCTATTTAAACGGGACCCTAAAATAAAAGTTCTTTGGTTTTTATTTTGGATTTTGTTTAAGAATCTTTAAAATAAATGATTTTTAGGGATTTGTTATATAGAATATTATATATGTAGGGTTGTTTGTAGTTTATATTATTGGTAGCATACTTTTATTATATCAGTGTTTGAATTTTTCTTTAAATCAATAATTTCCTAACAAGTTACTCAACGCCTCAATTATATTTTGATATGTTTATTGATGTTTTGTTATTATATATTTTTTTTTCGGTCCATCAACCAAATTATTATTTAATTTAATAGAAAACACTTTAACGCCCAATGTTTGAGCCCATCTCTAGCTGACATGTAGTAGCCATCGCCAGAACTACTTGAACGGGCATAAATGGGTACTGAGGGTTTCGTAATGCATTCCAGCAGAATGGGAATGGTATTCAGTATGGGAATGAGAATGGGAATGGGATCGGGTCAGCTCCAGTCCCAGCCGACTGAGCAGCACTTTTGTGCTCGACAGTGGACTCGTAGTGTATTTACGATGGCTTCATAACAATCCCAGCCGCAATTGCGATGCCAGGTCATCCCGGCGAAGGTGGACAGAATGGTAATCCGCGTGACAGTAACCCCAAATCACCCATCCGCCCATTAAACGATGGGTGTTTGTGTCCGGTCCAACATGCCCGTCACAGATTTCAACTGACAGATTTAATGGGTGCAAAATGTCGGTTGCCGTATTATGCTCAAATTGGTATTGTTCTTATTTGCTGTTATTTCCGCCATAGACTGTTGCATTCAGCAGGGAATATTTTCAGTTCTGTGCTCCGATCAGGTTTATAATTTACACGTGCATAACAATTTCATAAGGGTCCATTATCCGGTCGAGTTTTATAGACTTTAGAGGTTGAGGAGTTGTTGTTGGCATCGTCATTGCCACTACAAATCCCTTTTATTTTAAGGAAATCAATTTATTCTTGCTTTGGACAAAGCATTTGATTGTATTTGCTTTATCAAACTGATTTTCTGATTTTTATACGTATAACATTAGGGACAGCTACGTATACGTATAACATTAGGGACAGCTAAAAAAAGAAGGCAATCTTTTTTTTCTGTTAACCAATTTCAAAACAAAAGTGCCACCAACAGATGGCGTGACTAGCAATTCTATTAGCGCAGGGATCAAAAAGATGTGGCTCCATCTGGTGGTAGATGTATTTATTTGCTATCGCTGAACACGTTAAACACAATATTTTAATAACTTCTGAAGTAATTGTTTAATTTGGAAAATTGTTTGGTTGGTCTACATGTTTCTAAACTAAGCACTCTGTCCTCGAACATCATAGCTTGACATTGAACCGTACAGATTTCGTCTGAAGTCCAAAAGGTATTTATAAAAATTTTTAATTTGAGTGATATTAGTGATACCTTTCGTCCCTGAAGTGAAGTCTCCAAGTCGGCCACATAATGGAGGACTCAGAGGCGGAGGACCTGCGGGCCTTCGAGCGTCGGCTGACCGAGGTGGTTGGGGGAACCGCGGAGAAGCCGAGCCCCTTCCGCTGGCGCCTCGTCCTGGGCGCGACCTTTGCCTGCACGGCGATCAGCGCTTGCCACTGGTTGCGGGACGCCCAGGGGGGCGGGTCGCTGCTGTTCCGCATGCTGTCCAGCCACAGCGCCTTCGCCTGCTCCCTGGCCACCTTCTGCCTGCTGCTCGTGTACGGCCTTAACCATGCCGCCAAGCAGGACCCGCCCATCCTGCGGGACACCCGCGAGACCCTGTCCACCTTCTGGCTGAACTGCGACAACCAGGGTCGGCTCATCCGCGTCCAGCCGTCCAACAATTTGGGTGGACTCGCACGCTCACGGACCACAAGCACAAATTGGCAAAATAAATAGGATCATTCCAGGAGCACCAAGAGCACCTACTAAAATTCGTGTCAAATCTTAACGAAAGTATGACAATTTTTGTTTAACCATCATCCGCATCAACCATATACCGTCTATAAAAAGGAAAAAAATATAACATACTGACTGTTTTGTGAAACTGTCGATCAATTTTGATTAGTTTGTCTCATTACAAATTTCCGAATTTTGTACAAATTAAGTTTACAAAAGTATAACATTTTTATCTGTTAATGCCAATCGATTGGAAATTTTATGACGACATCAACGCTGAATGACACTCCGAATTCTAATCATTATCATTTCCAGGGTTTCGATTTGTATAGGATCTTATTAGTTTTTTGACATTTAAGACTGACTATTTTCTGCAGCTGGATCTCTCTGACCGAAATAATGTTTACCTCTGTAAGGGTATAAATTATTTATTTGCACACCTTCCAAGTATTTAGGAAATTTTATTTATTGCTTGGGTTATTCTATGAAAAAATGCAACTTTTTATATACTTAACAACACTTTAATGTGTAACGATTAAAGTGTCAATGGTTTCGTTGTTTTATTCTAATTGATCATTATAAATGTAAGAAAGTAGTAAAACACACTCAATTGTTTGGTCAATGTAGCAAATACTGTATGCAGAAAGAGTTGCATAATTTTCACAGTTTTGGTCGCTTTTAGTTGTAGTTATCTTGCCGCAGCAGCGATAAAAAATAACAATTCAGCCAAATCCCTCCAGAGGGAAAGGGACGGGGACAGCCGGCGTGGGAGGGAGAGGGAAACAGAGTGCGTTGCACGCATATGCAGATATTGCGATTACGTATTCAGGAATGCATGGAGTTTAAAAAGTTCCAAGCCCATAAGCCACAATGCCCACGTCTCACCCAGCCTGACATTTATTATCTGGCGCTGCGTCTTTTTCACTGCGCTTACCACCGCTTTCCCCACGCTTCGTATACCCTAAAAGATGGTATTATTCTTTTTCAAACTCCTTAGATTTATATAAAAAAAAGCGTCACTAAAATGTATACCCCATACATATATTTCTAAGTAATTTAAATCCTCTAGAGTTTGTTTTTAATATGAAGGTGCTAAAGAAATCACTACGATTTTAAAACCATTTTAGAATGAGTCTAAAATTATGGAACAATAAATTTTGGAATTTTAAAGTTATATGTTTTCGTTACGATTTTAAAACTATAATATATTTAAAGCAATTTAAAAAGTGATTTCAAAACCTAAAAAGCTTTTTATACCAATATAAACTTTTTTAAGGTTAATTTGACTGAAAACATTTAAAAAATTAACCTGGAGATTTATAACTGGCAATCAAAAAGAGCTTTAACAGACCCTTTAAATCCTAGTTTAGTAAATACAAATTTTAAGGCACACATATTAAGTGTTAAAAATGACTATTTCTTATTTTGAAATTAGTTTTTTTTTCTTGTGATTTTTCGAGGGAGTTTGAAGACGACCCTTATTTTTTCCATTTTCCGGGCCCAGGCGAGTGAGGGATGTGTGATGCCGGGCAGGAAGAAGAATGAGAGCCGGAGCTCGTTTGCGGGCTATGGTCGACGACGGTCGCCGGACGGAGGCATTTGCATGCCCGGTTGGTTGGCCATCGCACATCCCATATCCCCACATCCCAGATCCCCACATCCCCAATCCCATCCTACGTGTCGTGGGCGGAAAAAGAACGACATTGGCCTTTTGATTTCGTTAGAGAGATTCGTGACAAACTCGCACATTACCGAGTCCGCACACGTTTCTGGGAAATATGCATTTTCCACTAAATGTTTTGTAAATGTTTCCGCTCACAACTTTATAATTAGTTGACGCTGCGACAACGCGAGCGGAAGCGGATGGGCGGAAGGTCGGAAAAAAGGAAAAAGTAAAAAGTAAAAAGGAAAAGCTGGAGCCGAGAAAGCCCAGCGGAAATTATCCAAGTTGAGCGGATTGCCCCAAAGCGTTACAACAGTGAAGCTCCTGTGGAGCGTCCGGCTCACAAAAGTCTCAGAAGTGAAGACAGAATGCACGATTTTCCAAATGTAGTCTTCTAACGCAAAATTATAAAGCATTTGTTAAAAATTATAATTTTCTACTCGTTATTGGTAGTGTGAAACAGTACACACAGTTGCGGTCAAAATAATAGCACTGTTCGTGCTCCTTTCTCTGAATTACATTCTAAATGTTCATATTGTGAACTTTGTGAATATGAATATTAATTTGGTCTTTTGCTTGGTATTGGATTTTGATTTGATTGATTTATCTATATGTCTACTTATCTGTACACCTTTTCTAATTATTCCCCGCTAAGCTTAGTTTTAATGGATTGACCAAGCAAAAAAAAATATTTATTAGCTCATGTTGTATACTTAAATTTCTCTAGGAGAGAAACTAAATCGCAGATTTAAATCCATTTAGTTTCCATGTTATTTATCGCCTTCTATCGATTTCATGGCCACTTTGGAGGACACTAACCGGATTAGGTACATTGGATCAAGCGAGGAAATAGTTGCAAATAAATGGTTTCCTTCGGATCTAACTATCCAACAGGTGGGCGTCACCGTTAGTTCAATTTCCAGCAACTTGTGGTGGTGAACCGAGAAATCGCAGACAAATCGCATTGAGTTCAATGCCACGCACAGAAGCTGTGGCACAAGAACACTCAAAGAAATTTTATTTTTTCTTCTTTCCCTATAATAAGCAAAATTTGCCACTAAATCAATCCATCATCTCAGGTATTCTCGTTATTTTAAAATTTATAATAAGAAATTGTTTCTTAAAATATTTCGCGATAAATTAAACCATTCCGATTATACCATAATAAAGTTGGATTAAAAAAAAAGAATTTTACTTCGTTACTTAAATTGTACTAATAAGTTAAAAATTTTAAAATTCATTTAAATATTAAACAAAATTTTCGTGTTGAGAACTATGTTTTTAAGCTGATATCATTTTAAATATTTAGCCGTTTTTCCTACAAAACATGTAATTACCTTGACCGAGAAACATTCCCCAAAATAATGACATTCTACTCCAGTCCAAATTGTTCTCAGTGTACTGATACACAGATATTGAAACAGATTCAGTGCCACCGAGAGATACCCACGAAGCTGTTTAATTAGATTTTCGCTGCGAGATGTGAGCCGCGTGATTGAGTCACAGCTGAGTTTTCCGAGGGAGGGCGGCGTAGAGCGGGAAAAGCTAGGCAAATTGGGGATAAAGACGGGCGTGCTGGGTCTGCATCTTCGGCTCAAATTGAAGTTTTAATTAAAAGGCAACTACTACATTGGGCAACCAAATGCATTCACAGCACCTGCTTCCACTTGTAGGTCTGCGAAAAACCCCCAAAAACCTCCGTAAGCCCCAGGCCCTCAACTTCTCGAAACCCGCAACTTATTAAAAACTGTCGGCATTATGTTAATTAGCCGCAAGACAGAGGAAAAGCGGGCAGAAAAAGTGTCAAACCAAAATGTCGCGGCAAATCAATCAAGATTCCCGATTTGGCCCATGGAAAAGTCCCTGGGAGAACAACAAAAACGACAACAAATTAACAAAAAAAAAGTGGTCAGCGAGTGACAGAGAGGGAAAGAGGGGCGAAAGAGACAGAGACAGAGGTAGGCTGATTAGCGTAATAGGACGCCGGTATTGCGTCGCCTAATTTTAATGCAAATTCCAAATTGGCGCCCCGAAGTATGCAGCAGAAATTTGATCAAATTTCGCATCATTGCACTATGGGCATATCGACAACTTTTTGTGGCATAAATTAATAGCTTAAGAACGATAATAACAAAAGTAAGGAATATTTGTGAAAAATGGGCGAGGTTCAAACCTTTAAAATTACATTAATTTATACAAGAATTGAAAAATCTTCAACATGAAACAAATTTTAAGATGAAGCTAGTTGAAACGCTTTTTATTTTATTTATTCAAAGATTTGAGAATCTTCAAAAATGTTCCTCAAAATCTTCTTAATTTCGCTGTTAGAAGAAGAAGATGTATTGTTTTTCTGTCTAATGTTATGTTAAAACGATGACGTCATAAAATCTTGATATAAACGACTTTTAAACAATGGGTTTTGGCCAGAAAAACTGGTCGCCTAGCCCATAGTGCATCGCCAGATGGAAATAGGGGCGATGGGCCAGGGGCGTGGCAGGTTACAGGACCCCGGGGTCAGTGTGTGCGTGCCGCGTGCGTGTGGGTGTGTGTGTGTGTGTGCTGCTCCCTTTTGGGGTCTGTCCAATTTGAATTTAAATGGAAAAGGCCCCACTGCACCCAGTTTCAATCGATTCACACAGGATTCCCAGAGATTCAAGCTTTTGATTGTTTAAATATTCAAATATCACCTTTACATATTTAGTTTCTACAAAGAAGAGAGCATTGTAAATAACTTCCATATCAGATTTTTACATTAACTATAAAAATTATTGTTATACAATCGAAATTGTTCTCGTAAAGGAGATATCGTTTATTTATATTTTAGTGTTTTTATGATAAACAATATTTAAGTTTTGTAATGTAAAATATCTAAATCTTAATGTATTCTATATACTTCTAATTTGAATTGAAGCGATTGCCTATGATATTTCATGTTAGTTTTTTATCGAATATATATTTCATTATACAAAAAAAAAAACAACAGGTAAAGAAACTGTGCGATCATATGTCGGTGCTATTATTTTGACCGCAATTGTACATGGCTAAGGCTAGTTTTCTTATTTTATTAACCTCAAAAGGCGGTTCAGCAACTTTAACATCTCGTGGGTCCACTTAAAAGACTTCGCTTAGGGCAACACATTTAAAAACAAATTAGAAGCTGGCCACTAATAACTGCCATAACACTAACAGACCCCACCACCCAACACCCACGGTTACGCCCCCGCCCCCGACCCCGCCCTTTGACGGGGACCCTCGGGCGCATGAAAAGGAAAAGTTCAAGTGTCGAGCTCAAAATAAATTTCTTCCGCTGCCACGAGAAAAAAAAAAACTAAGGCAAAAGCACAAGTTTGAAACACACACTTTAAGGCATGACCGAGATGGGGAAGCGGAAATTAAACATGAGGGGAATTGGTCACGCACCTCGAATACTGTGTTTATGACATGCATTTCATGTGGTCTTAAAAGCGTTAAAATATTTATTGCCAAAAAGAAAAATGAGAAAAGTAGCAAGGCTGCACAACTCTCCCAAAAGTCGAAGAATGCCTAAACAAGTTAAAATAAAAAGAAGCATTTAATATAAAGGTATTTAAAGTTAGAGAAGTTAAAAAGCCTTACATATAAAGCTAATTCCCTTGATATTTAACATAAATTAAATGCAATTTTAATTAATTTTTTCTCGTCTGTCCATTGGACAAAATTAATTTTAGCTAAGACGAAAAATCTTTAAACTGTTCTTAAGACCTCGTCAAAAGAATAAAACACTATTTCAAGTGCTTATTCATAAATGCCGCCTAGCATTAGACTCCATTTGCCGCATTTTATTCGACAGATTCAAGTAGAAAACCCGGAAAATCGTAGCCCGTCAAGGAAATCGAAGCCCGGGACAAGAAGAAGCCGCGACATTATTAGCTCTACTCCTGGCAGAATTTCTCAAAGAGGTCCTGCGAGCGAAGCAGAAATTCTGCCAGTGAAATAGACAAGTAAACGAGATGCCGATGCCCCACTTCTCTGCCAAGTTTGCACCAGCAATATTGCAACTGGAGCAGCACCACAAGCAATTCACTTGGAAAAATGATAGCGCCCTGTGATAAATAAAGTCAACTCTTTGCGAATTTTTTTAAAATTAACTTGCATCATACTTTATTTTGTTTTTCTGTTAAAACCAATGAAAAAATAATTATTTCAAAAATACCAAACAACAATTTTTACAGGAACTACATTTTTTAACTTTTACAAAGAAACTGTTCGTCAGAAATGTTAAATGGCCTAATATATATTGATATTTGTACATTTCAAAAAGGTGGGACTTTGCAATTTTTTATTTATTTTTAAAATATGTGTGCTAAATTTGACCTCGTTCTGAAACATGTAATCCAAAATTGATCCAAAACAATACAAAAATAAAATAGTAATATAGTGTTTTAGTATTATAGAAACATCGGTTTATCTTAGTTTTGGTTCTTTAAATTAGGAATTTTATCATCTATGTTATTGTTCGATCGTTTTTTATTTGTTTTGGTGTACCTACAAAAACAGCAACAATGACAACACCGTGTTTATATGCAACATTGACAACTTGGCGTGACGCGAGTAACGCGGAACGAAGTTCGATGTTGCTGCTGTTGCTGTTGATGTTGCTGCTGATGTTGCTGCTGTTGCTGCTGTTGCTGTTGCTGTTGCTGCTGTTACCATAAGCATAAGCATCGACATTACCATTACTGTTGCTGGCGGTGCTGCTCCTTGTGCTCCTTTGGCTTCTGTTTGCACCGAGAAAGTCATAAAAGTTGTCTGACTCCAGCTTAGCCCACCATGTGTGTGGACTGAAACCCGGCAGAATACTCCGAAAAGAAATGCAAAATACAAAGTGCACTGCAAAAATCACATTTTTTTCAAGAGGCTGGTTAATTTCAGTCAGAAGTTTGCAATGCAGTTCAGAAGGCATTTCCGACCCTATAAAGTATATATCATATGATCTTGATCGGCATCACTAGGATAGGTCGATCTAGCAATGTCTTTCAGTTTTATAGCTATCTGCATGTGTATATTTTTATTTTCATAAGTCTTTCTCAAGCAGGTGGCATATAAGTCGGAACGAGCCGGATCGGACGTCTATATATTTAATATTCTTTGTAGCATCGCTCTGTAGGTGACGATTCTTGCAGGTATAACAAGTAGATGAAAAGCCACTTCTGCGATTAAAAGTCTGTATTGGTTCAAGTTATGTTTTTATACATTATAATACTTTCACACTATTTGAAAGACAAGTGCGTTCACCATTTGATAGCGTTTTTTTTAATAAGTTATTGAAGGATGACCGCATTCCTACCAACAACATTTTTTTTTTTTATGTCAAGGTCTTTAAGTGTATATTCCACCAATGTTCTTATAATTCCCAAGTGCAGTTATGCTTAATATTTTTTCGGGTGCATTCGACGGCAGCTGCTGTGCATATAACTAACTCGGGCCCTAACCTTAGACACTGTCTCCTGCCTCGACCACGCCCCTTTGTGTGTAGGTGTGTGAGTGTGTGTGTGTGTATATGTATGTGCGTTGGTGGTAGAGTTGTTTTTTGGGGGGCTGCGACTATATTACATTTTATGTCAAACGCGTACGCTTTCAATATTGACAGAAAGCGTCCTTGTTGCAGTCGCGGATGAGAATGAGGATGCGGATGACGACGCGGATGTGGTTGCGGATGCGGATGGGGATGTGGACACGTCACCTGTTCCAATTTCTGCACCTCCAACCGCCCATAAGCCCATAAGACTTGTTGTTGCCACCGTTCTTGTCATGCTAATGTTAAGTTATTTTCGTATTTTTTGGCATTCTTGACTCCCTGCCTCAAGTGACACGAACCCCCCTCCACGGCCACCCATGGCAAGTTATTTTCAAATAAAGAGAACGCAATTTTAGTCATCGCTATATTCACTGAAATGTGGGCTCTTCATCATTATTATAGCAGCACTGCCGCAGGCGACTTAGAAGGGCTCGCCCAGGGGCTTGATGGTCAGCTCGTGCACCTGGACATGCGGGGGCGTGGCCAGGGCGTACATAATACCCGCAGCGATGTCATCCGGCTTTAGCATCGGCAGCGTACCGTAACCGGAAGGCAGAATCTCCGTATCGGTCACACCTGGGGTGATGCTCTGCAAAAATATTATTTGTAAATTATTTGTTAAATAAAATTCGCAAAAATATACACAAACTATATGTTAGTAATTAAAAAATAAAGTTTAAAGTCGAAATCGAATTCTTAAACTACCCTTGAGCTAACCAAATTCTGGTAAAAGCTAAATAACTGGCTTGGACTCACCGTGACCTTGATCTGGGTCTTGAATCCGCGCAGCTCCTGTCGCAGGACCTCCAGCAGGGCCGTGATGCCGTGCTTGGTCAGCGGATACATGTTGAGGACTTGGAGCTCGTCGCCGGGCGGATTGATGAGGTTGCGTCCGGTGAGGCTATTGATGAGCACCACATGGCCGGCCACCTCGCGCTGCTGCATGGAGCGGAAGGCGCGACGGGTGCAGATGACCACGCCCATCAGGTTCACGTTGAGCACCTGCTGCAGCTGCTCCAGTTCCAGGGTGAGCAGCTGGCCAGGATTCAGGCAGCCGGCGTTATTCACCAGAATGTCACAGCCGCCCAGCTGCTCCTCCACCCAATCGAAGGCGGCCGTCACCGAGTCCAGATCACCCACATCGCAGTGGATGGCATGCAGGCGGGATTGCAGCTCCGGCGGCAGCTCCTCCTTGATGGCCACCATGCGCTCCACACGACGGGCCAGGCCCACCACAATGACACCGGCACTCACCAGCTGACGGGCCACGGCGGCTCCGATCCCCGAACTTGCCCCAGTGACCACGGCCACGCGATCCTGCCAGCGATCCATTTCTCCGGTTTCAGTATCTAAAAGTTTCAGTGTTTTTTGCCTTCGTAAGAAGTCCCTTCTCAAGTTCCAGCTCCCAGGCAGTTCACAGCGAAACTGACTTGAGATGGCAACCCACGCACCCACTATATATACCCCAAAATCATCGGCCCAACTTGGCAGGCAGGCAGGCAGGTAAATTATTAAAAAAGCGACCGCCCCAAGCGCGCAGTTCACACGTGAGCTGAATAATTGAGTGGAGTGGCGGATCTAAGGCGCATTTTTAGGGGCAATTAAGACATTTAGCGGGTCGCAAATAATAATCGCTTTAAAATCGGCCGAGGGCCTGTCTACCGAACTTCCGCATAATAAATCAGTTAAATAATAACGACACTTCGTCTAAGAATTTCCGATCAAATTCGATTTAAGGCAAAAGTATATTTATATATATATATTATAAATACATCTTAAATCGGATTTTATATGGCATGTAGTTGCTGCCAAAAAAAAATATCTTACTTTACATTGTTGCTTTTTTTAAATAACAATATTCAAACTTGAATAAGATGACAAATCAATAAAATAAAATAATTGTATTTATTGTAAATGTAATTTGCAGTTGTCATTTTTATATATTTTTATACCACTTATATCGAATTTAATAGAATTTTACAATTTGTACACTTTTTACTTGATTTAATCAGTGTTTCTTTATTTTAAATAACAATATTTAACCTTCTTTAATATAATTATGTATAAATGTTAATTAGAGTAAAAAAACAATAAAACAATATATTATTATCAAGTTTAATGTATTACAAACAACAAGAAGTAAGGAAACAAAATATTTATGGCCATAGTATATTGATTTCATATATCTATTTTACGTGCAATAGTTTTTTATGAATATAGATAAAGAATATATTTGGAAGAATACAATAAAAAAGATATATAAACTGCTAACATTCAACCATTATTGAGCTTTTCGATTTGGAAAGTCCTCCGTTTCTGCCATGAATTATTTATTTGACAAACAGTGGAGCAATGCAGCGGTGTCCTAGAAAGGTTCGCCCATGGGCTTGATGGTCAGCTCGTGCACCTGGACGTGGGGGGGCGTGGCCAGGACATACAGGATGGCATCGGCCACATCCTCCGACTGCAGCATGGGCAGCCTTTTGTAGGCCAAGGGCACCATCTCCGTGTTCACCAGTCCCGGACTAATGCTCTGTGGAATAGTGTAAAATTAGTCACCGCCCGTCCACTAACTTTTGTTACTACTAAAGCTATTAATTGCCACAGCCATAACTTTTCCCCAAAGCTAAAGCCATAAAATCAAACCAAAGAGACAGACCCATTTGAATGCTGTAATAAATCGTAAGCTATGATCGTGACTACCATATACTTAATTTTAAAGTATTGCCGACAGCTTTAATTTAGAAGAACGAAATGTATATTTGAAAAATCTAAACCTGTCATTAAAATAGATTTTATAGGCGCTTAAATATACAAATCATTGTGTAAAGCGTAAATTGCGTAAAATAAAATGTAATCATTTAATTTACTTAATAGTTATTGGTTAAGACTGCAGATTACATTCTCCATATATATAAATGATGATTTTATTAAATATTTTATACATTTTTCTAAAAAAAAAAAAATGCAATGCTTTCTTTTCTATAATGTTATTAACTCGAAAACGACAAGCCCTCAAAGAAACTAGTTCCTTAAAAATACAATATGCATTTTGAAACATTTTAAAATTTTGTACTTTTTTTCTTTTAAAACGTACGAATGTTGCGTTCTCATTTCATTAATTAACCAAATGTACAGTTGCAGTCAAAACAATAGTAACGGTGTAATTGAAAGTACTCTAAAATATGTATAATATTTATGAAAAAACTTTTCTAAAATTCACGATTCAATATATTGTTAAGTTAATTTTGTAAGAAATTTGAGAAAATGATTGCAAGCTCGTTCATCAGCACTTTTCAGTGAAATAAACAGTTTTTAAGTATCTAATCTATTTTAAGAATTGAATTGAAAATGTATAAACAAAATGGTTGTCAATATATTTTAGCAGTTTTTTAAATTTTTGTTTTATATTTGAGACTTTTAATTGAACTATTAGTTTCACGAAAATATTCATGGGCTTCTATAACCTTGACCGCAGCTGTATGTGTAAATATATATGTGTGGCTGTACCCACCGTGACCTTGACCTGGGTCTTGAAGTCGCGCATCTCCTGGCGGAAGAGCTCGGTGAGGGCGGTGACGGCGTGCTTGGTGGCCGGGTACACGTTGAGCTCCTGCTGGCTTCCCGGCAGCGGGTTGAAGATGTGGTGACCCACGATGCTGTTGATGAGCACCACATGACCGTCGGACTGGCGCTGCCGCATGGACTCGAAGGCGCGCTGCGTGCACTGCACCACGCCCATCACGTTGGTCTGCAGCACCTGCTGCACCGTGTCCAGCGACATGGTCAGTAGCTGTCCGCCGGACAGCTTTCCGGCATTGTTGATCAGTATGTCCACGCCGTCCAGTTCTCGCTGCACTTCGTCGAAGGCTTCATTAACGTCCCCGAGATCCGTGACGTCACACTGCCGAATGTGCAGCCGCAATCGCTGCTCCTCCTCTGGCAATTCCCGGCGCAGTTGCTCCAAATGCTCCAGGCGACGGGCCAGGGCCACCACCACCACGCCGGCGGAGAGCAGTTTGCGGGTCACTTCCGCCCCGATTCCCGAACTGGCCCCTGTGACCACGGCCACGCGATTCTGCCAACGTTCCATGCCGACGACTCGAGGACAAATGAAATCTCTACGCGTCTCCGAGTCGATCAATAGCTTCGGTTGATCTCTGCCCAGCATCAACTTTGCACACAGTACAAAAAAAAGGTACTAAAAAGTGCTATATATACAAAATGCTTCCATAGAGATATTTTTACGTTTTAACTTAATACATACAAAAACCTATTTATTGCCTACATACGAATGTTCGATTTCAAATAAATTAAAATTGCCAACAAACCACCAATTTAAAATCGAGTTTTAAGTAACGGACTATGGGATAAAAACCTTCTATTAGATTTACATTATTATAAATATATTATATATTATTTTAAAATATTTTCCAAGTGCATTTATGTAACCGCATCCAAACCGCAGATTGAAAAGATCCGATTACTTTGCAACCATTCAAACCGCAATCGCAGACTTTTAGTTGAAAATTTAGACTGAAGCCGGATCAATAAATTATGCATTTGACAAGAAAATATTTCAAAAAAATATATATTTTCAATATTTTACCCTAAACATATTTGAATTTTGATGGAAGCTTCAACTTAACTAAAAGAAACAAGCCGGTAGTAATCATAAATACATTTGCCAACTGATTGGATTATTTATTTGATTATTTACCCGCCTGCCACGGGCGCAATAGTGTGCGATAAATGGGGGCCGATTTCGAATTTGCCAGTGCCGTAAGTTGTTTGCCCCGGCCATCCCTTGAATAACTCAATCGAAGTGGCACGAAGAGGAGTCCGTAATGAAATATTGACGGGTCGTATTCGCAAGTTTGTCGCAGCTGCAAGGCGGTGGCGGTCCTACAAAAACAAAAACGAAAAGCAGAGAAGAAAAACAACAAGCTCGACAGCTGCACAAAAGTTTTTCCTTTGAAATATAAATAAAAATCAATTTGAGGCGCATTTTACAGCGCCGAAACTCAAACACGGCGGGGTTTGGATATAACAAGGGGGGCTGATGGGCAACATACGCAAGCAAATGTCGGCAATAGTTAACTAATGCCGTAGGGGAAAACCTGGCGGGGTCTTCATCTTAACATGCACTTCAAAAATAGCCAAATCTGCCATCAAAATCCATATATTTTACTAAGCTTTGACATTTATTTTATTATTATTATCAGAGATCAATAAAAAATAATTAATAAATTATAAAAATATATTTTTTTGATTTTATAATAATATAAAACTTAACAAAAATTGTAAAGTATTTATTATTTGCAAATTAAATCGGATAAATCTAGATTTCTATTAATATCCGGAGTGGACTTTTGACATAGTTTAAGAAAGTGTCGAAAAGTATGCAATAGGAATTTCAAAAAAAGCTTTCACTTAGGAGTGAGCTAATCAAATAGCACAAATTATCATACTGCATACTTTTAGGCTCACGAAAAGGTGTTTTTAAAAAACCTATGTATTTACACTAAATGATTTTTTTTTGCTGTGCAACGATTTTCGGGACTGTGATTTCTTGCGATTCCTGTCCCATGGGCACACGTGCTATTTGCTCACGTGTTTATGGAAATTGAGCAACGTATTTCAAGTATTTGGAGGAGCGTCAGCTCAAAGCGCCGTTTATTTGCCGACTCGAGACTCCAGGCTCGAGACGAGTGAAGGAAAAGGCAAGAAAAATGCGCATGAAAATTTCACTGATTACGTATTTGCCGAGGAGCAGGGAGCAAACAAGCCGAAGTGGGTGTAGGTATAGGTGTGGGTGTAGGTGTGTATGTAGATGTGTATGTGGATGTGGATGTGGGTGCCTCAAACTTTTCGGCAAACAAATATCTATTAGTCGCATTAGACTCGGCAGGATGCGCGGTGAGGAGTCTCCAGTCGGGTGTCTGGAGTGGGTTCTATATCCCCGACATGTGGTTCTGCCAGTGGTCAGAGTTCAATGCCGAGCATGTGCATATGCACGTGCAGATTAAAAAAAAAGGGACACAAAAAAGGGGGGTTTCCTCCGAGTCCGGGCATTGCCACTACAGTGAGCTGTCTGAATTATGCAAACAATCGGTGGTGGCGGACGGGGAAGCACTGTACTCTATGTGGGAGTCCCCCAAGTGTCGAAGATTGGCTTCGACCCACTTTGAGGGTTACATTATCCAGAAGGGTGTTCCTGATTTAAGTAAACTCTATCTTTTTTTCACATATTAATATATATACACATATTTACCTTGTGTAACAAGTTAACAAAGAACTTTATTCTAGGTCATAAGTCCAAAAACAGTGAATTACTCTTCACTTGCATACTTATTTAGAACCTGAAGCTTAAACATACATTAAATAATAAATATAAAAATATATAAAGTAATAAATAAATATATATATATTTCGCTTACAAAGACATATTGGCATATTGAATGTTTATTATATTCTCTTTTTGTGTCTACGATTTTATCCAAACATTTTTTTTAAGATTTGTAACCACAGAAATAATTTTAAATTAAAATACTACAAAAGGAAAAATCTCTTCAAGCAAAACTTTACCAAATTCAACAAAGTAAGGTTTTTCTGACCGTAATTATAAATTATTTTATAGGTATTTACTCACACGTAGAAACAGTTTTTATATATAATCCGACATTTTTTTTAGAATTAGTAACTTACACAAATAATTTTTAATTAAATTATAACTAAAGAAAACTCTTTTAGCCAAACTTTAAAAAAGTTAGGATTTTTTGACCGTACATTATGCAAAATCACAAAACATTTACTTATCTGTATGATTATCATACAAATTACCATTTGGCAATGTTTCATTGCAGTTAATGGCACTTTTAACACAAACAATGCCAGTTCCTTCGATTTTATGCGTTAAACTAGTGACCATTAATGCCATTAGCTGAGGGGCAGACAGCAAAACTCTGACAAATCAAAGGCTTTTGTCAATAGGAAGGACAGCTGGCAGTTAGCTGATTTGTTTTGGGAACAAAAGGGATCAAAGGAAGGGCAATTGTCCTATGTTGAAGGGGAAATCCGAAAATTTTATCAAATTCAGTTCCGAGTGAAAACTAGAACAGGCCTGATTAACATTTCAAGATGCCACAGAAACTTGTAAAAAGGTGTGTACAAGTATGCAATATATTTAAAATCTATAAGTCCGTTGGATTTATTTCAAAATATGACTGTAATTGTTTACAAGACCTTAGGGCTATAATCGATATAAAAACTGTGCACTTCTATTATGTTTTACAATTTTAGAAAATAAATTTTGTTTGATTTTGTTTCTTATATATATACATTTTTTAAAAAACTTGTAGGATGAAGAGTCTCTCTAGTTCGGTCTTTTTAAATTCGATTTATTTCCTGATACTTTGATTTCGAATCGCATACGTTTTGCCGCTTCAACAAAGGCGACTGGCACAGCTGCTGCTGTTGGAGCTCCTGGACCCGATCCTTGGCTGGTTGTGTCCCTTGTGCTCCTTGGGCTCCTTGTTGTGTCTTCTGCTCCTGTTGCCACTGGCCATAATTCAAATTTGCAGTTTTCTATGCTAATTCGTTTGATATCGCTGGAAAGATAGCGGCGCCCATTTTGGATCTGGCCACAGAAAGTGTGCCGGAAATTTATGCAGCACTGGCATATGTGGTATGTGTCCCCTTGAAAAAGGGGCATACGCAATTCAAATTTTGAATAAGGAATACGAAAAGTGGTGTGTGGTGTGTGGTGTATGGAGTGTGGAGTGCCGAATTCGAAGGACCAGCAGGCGACAAGTGAAATGTGCATGAAAACACGCGACATTTGCATTTGGCCTGACCCTCGAAGGCGTCGCCAGCTGTTTTCATTATGCCAATTTGTCTTGGCCATCCCATTCCATTTCATTCGATCCCATTCCATCCACTCTCGGCATAATTATGTAAGCAGCTGGCGGGCATGCCCATCCCCAATTGGGCCCCATTTCCGAGTTCGGCCATTTAAGCTGGTTTATGCCTCCAGTTTTATGGCCAAAACGACTGGCTCTTTCAGGTGAGTGCGTCTGGGGCAACACTTCCCGGCAAACGGCAGCCACTTGGCGTTTTGGCTGTTATGGCCACCTATAAACCGGCCAAAATAGCCGCCAATCCACACAGCCTGCAACAATGTATTAAAGGATGTGCAGGATACAGGATCTTTACAGCTGCCACGTCTTCGGTGCTAGCCGTATGATTGATTCGATTTTAATGCGTATCGAAATATATATTGTATTTCTTGGCTCGCTCGGTAATTAGTTGTAGTCAGTAGTCGGTAGTCGGTAGTCGGTAGTCAGTAGTTGCCAACTGGGAGACCGGATATCCTCTTTCAGTTTCAGTTTATGACGGCTCCTTCCGCAGAAACGACTTGGCCGAGCTCCAACATTCCGACGAATGCGATTAAAAATGAGTCAACAATGGTGCCGGAAATTCTCTTTTATTCCTGTCCAAGGAATTCTTTGCAACTAAATGTACATATTGAATTATCAGCACTTTACCAAAGCTTAATAAAAACTTATTGCTCAGGTACAAATAATTAAAGTATATATTATTATTGTTTTGTTATCTAAACTAAAGAAAAAAACAAATTCAAGTAAGAAAAAATAGGACATTTAGTTAGTTAGTTATAATTTAAAATGTACCTTGTACCATTATAAGTGTTATTTAAAATTAAATACAATACTTAAAATTTCTTTTGTATTTTCTTATGATGTAAATTTCAAGTAACATTGCTTCAGAACTTTTAGCTTCAAAAAATAACCCGATTTCCGGATTCTGTGGTGCTTGGACAGGGGAATTTAATTTGGGGCTTCCTTGGCAGATGCCAGTCAATCGTTTCAATATTATTCAATAACTTGCCGACGGGTGTTGTCGCCCTTTCCCAATGGCCAGATGTCAGAATCTCATATTCGTAAACAAGTTGATTTCGGTCCGCAGCTTGTGTCATTTATTCAGCTCATTTATTGATTCACATTCACATTGCGGCCTGGCAGAGGACACGTGTTTGCCTTCAGATATATGCCGGATATAGGAGATATAATAAAGAAGCCAAGACGTGCAGGACCAAAGCTCAAGTGACCATCGCACATTGAGGAAAACTATCATTGAAAATGGATTATTTGAAATGAAAATATTTTTGTACATCAAAATGGAAGTTTTCGGATGATATACTTTAAACTACTAACATCTCAAATACATATAATATTGAAATAATATTTTATTTGATTATAATATATTTTATTTTATCTTGGAAAGAAACTAAAAAAATATACTGATAGCTTTAACATCTAAAATACATATGCAATGTAAATGTTTTTTTTTTTATTTCAGAAATTTTTAATATTTTATTAGTCAGTTTCTCAAATATATTAATAAATAGTGATTTAACTTTTTCTGACATTTTTTTAGGGTTATTTTCAGTGCATCGAAGTAACTGGCTGTTTCAACTATCAATTTGCTGACAGCGTATTTTCCTCACGTGTCCGGGGGCCGAATCAATCGAGTCGCAAGTAAACTCATTAGGCCGAAGCAGGTGCTAGAAAGTAGGAGAAAATAGTGGGAGACTATGCACCATTTGAATGGCTCAGGCATAGAGCATAGCATATTTATTTGACTGCCACGACCCGGCGACTTGCGTCTTGAAGCTGAAACACTCAAAAACCAGTCACGTCAGCCAACCCCCTTTGGAGATTTCGATTCCCCCCCAAAAAAAAAAAATAGGAGCGAGCTGCCAACACACACAACATAGCGCAAAAGTTGAGCATAATATTTTATGAGGGCTTCTTGGCGAAATCTCCGTCCTGCACATGTGTGCACTGATTGCAGCAGTTCTAGTCCTGGATTTGGAGCTCCAGACTACGGATTCCGGACTCCGGATTCCGGGTCCCCTGGATCCTGAAACCCGAATCCAAGCCAATGATAAATGGCTCCAACATGCAGCCAGAAACTGCAGTCAGTCGGGGGCTGGTGTATCAAATTATGAAGAAATAATAATAAAATGTTGCAAAAAGACATCCTACAACTGTTGATGATAAATGAAGCCAAGGGCAAGTGCACATTGGGTCACCGAGCTCTGCAACTTCTCCCCTTCGACATAGAAGACATCCTTTTTGGCTTGAATTGCCAAAGCATTAAATACAAAAAAGGGCAAGCAAACCAAAAAAAAACTTTCAATAGCAAGAACAATTAATTAAAGTTTGCAAAAAGTCAAATAGTTTAGGACCTTTATAAATTTTGCAACTAGTTTTAGGAAGCACTTCGAGTCACTCTAATCTACAAATGGGAACTCGGTATGGTTCGTATGTCTTTTAGAAGTGAAAGATTACTTAAATAAATTGGTATTTACACCCAAAAAAAATCTGAAAGTTTTGTTTTATATTTTTAAATTTGGATAGCTTGGTATTGGTAATATTCTGTAACATGGATGCCTTTTATCATTATTTTTAGTAATAAGTAGTAAATCTCAAAGTACAATAATTCTCGCAAAATTAAACATTGACATAACGAGGTGGTGATCACAATTTCATAAAGCTGGTTCGAGTGGACTTCATTTTCAAAGCTAGGATTAGGAAAACGATGCCTAAACAAAATAGATATTTTGATATTTATTAAAAAAAAAATGAACGACATAATATTTGCATTATTTTCTTGGAGAAGATAAAATGATAATAACTAGATAAGTTATTTGATTATTTGCAAAACTTTTTAAATGATCATAATTAAATTATAACAGATTGTTTAAATCAATTCTGGAGAAAGTGTTTCCTTAAAAATCCATCCAAAAATCCAAACCCTTGACCCAGATAAAAACTAGAAGTCAGTTTGCATTGCTTAATATTTGTTGTCTCAATATTTATTTTCTCATTTGACTAGATAATGTTCCATCATAATGCGTTTTTTTTGTTCGGTTCATAATAATTCATTATATTGTATTTAGTTGATCGGTTAATACCATTAGCTTGCGCCGCATATTTGTATAATTTCGACCAGTCCCGGCGCAGTATACGTCCTCAGTCCGATTCGGATCGGATCGGATCGGGGGTACATATTGCGGCGGAGCCGTCGATTTTTGTATAATTAATATATAAATATAACATGTGAGAGTGTTTTGTCAACCGATCGGTCTGTTTGCATGGGTTTTCTTCTTTTTTTGTTTTTATTGTACATACAATACATATGTTATAGACGATATATAATATATGTAGAATTAAACGTAGGTAAATAATGTAACATACATAATATATGAATGAAGATTCATTTCTTAGGGGTACAATATACACATTCTCTATTATCAATAAATCGTGATTCCATTGAGAGTCGTTCGAAGTGTTTTCGTAGTAGTAGGTCTGACATGGTAAGTGTAGTAAAGTGTTGGGTTCTTGGAGTTGAGGGGATGGGAAATCGAACAGAGGCAAACGTTTTGGGAGGTGGTTAAGCTGGGATCATAGAATATATTCATTTAACACGCAATTAACAAATCTATTATTATGCAATCTTGCTAGTAAACTCAATCAATCAGTTATCAATCAATACGTATGGCATATAGTTATGAATATCTTTGTTTAGTTTTACGTTAGGTTTTGCTTTTTGTTTTCCTCATATGATTTAAAGTACTTTTTGCTTCAACAAAGATGATTTGCCTATATGGTTTACCTTTACTTTTTTAGTTTAGTTTGAATATAATTTCATTTGATTCACAACAATAACATTTGAATATGCATTTCCGTTTAAGTTTTCGTGTTCGCTTGGAGTTTTGAATTCATCTCTAAATTTATCGTTAAATCAATGGTATACATAAAGCTTAAAGTGTATCTGATGGCTATGGATAGTACCACTAACCATACAACATATAGACTGGTCATTTCATACGACGCATTTGGACACAAAAATTCGGACCGCGGAAGGTCCACCGCTCTCACAGCAGCAGGTCCATGCACTTCGTGTGCGTTCGGGTTTTTTACTCTCTCATTCTTATTCTCATTTTTATGCTCGCGCACTCATTGCACGAGTTCAGTCGTTCAGTCGCAGAGAGGCGCTTTTTGAAGAAGGCTGTCCTGCGCTTGAATTCGTCTTTGTATGTATGCGTGATCATGCATTCTCATACACGGGAGCATGTGTGCGTTTATTTCATTTCGGCGCATTAAGAATATTTTGTCTTTTGCCACTTTTCAAACTTGGTACCCTAAGAATATGGGCGTATTTACTATTGGGTTATAATATAAATATTTATATTATATGTTATAATATATTTTTTTAATATTTCAGCATACATTCTATTTTTGTTTACAAATTCAAATCAGTGGTAGCAGTAAAATGTTTTACATATATGTATGTATTCGAATTTATAGAAATCAGTCCACTGAGATGGGAACAGGGCATATCGCAGTCGTGTCACTTGAAACACCGACTGCTCTTCAGTGGTTGAGAAAACTTCAAACTAAATAAATTCTTGTCGATGTTTTGCGAGCGGTTGGTGCCTGCATACCCTACCGACGATTGCTTTTCAGGGGAGCGGGCTTTTAGGACACTTGTTTTAAATGTTATGTTTAGTGATCTTTGATTGATTTATTTTTTAATGATTCGCAGTGTTATTTTAATTGTCTTTAAACAAGTAATAAATAATAAAATACTTTTTATATTTTTGAAAATGTAAATGGAACAAATGATAATAATTTATTTTAATGATTATAATTTTAGATTTTAATTGTACCAATATCTTGAATTTTAACGAATTCTTTAAAGACAATTAAAATAACACTGCGAATCATTAAAAAATAAATCAATCAAAGATCACTAAACATAACATTTAAAACAAGTGTCCTAAAAGCCCGCTCCCCTGAAAAGCAATCGTCGGTAGGGTATGCAGGCACCAACCGCTCGCAAAACATCGACAAGAATTTATTTAGTTTGAAGTTTTCTCAACCACTGAAGAGCAGTCGGTGTTTCAAGTGACACGACTGCGATATGCCCTGTTCCCATCTCAGTGGACTGATTTCTATAAATTCGAATACATACATATATGTAAAACATTTTACTGCTACCACTGATTTGAATTTGTAAACAAAAATAGAATGTATGCTGAAATATTAAAAAAATATATTATAACATATAATATAAATATTTATATTATAACCCAATAGTAAATACGCCCATATTCTTAGGGTACCAAGTTTGAAAAGTGGCAAAAGACAAAATATTCTTAATGCGCCGAAATGAAATAAACGCACACATGCTCCCGTGTATGAGAATGCATGATCACGCATACATACAAAGACGAATTCAAGCGCAGGACAGCCTTCTTCGAAAAGCGCCTCTCTGCGACTGAACGACTGAACTCGTGCAATGAGTGCGCGAGCATAAAAATGAGAATAAGAATGAGAGAGTAAAAAACCCGAACGCACACGAAGTGCATGGACCTGCTGCTGTGAGAGCGGTGGACCTTCCGCGGTCCGAATTTTTGTGTCCAAATGCGTCGTATGAAATGACCAGTCTATATGTTGTATGGTTAGTGATAGTACCAAGTTGCGCTTGCCACATATGTAGTCTGGCCAGTGTTGGTTAACTTTATGTAAGCCTGGCAGCTCGCTCCAGGGTTGATTAACGTCACGTAAAGCTGGCCGCACACTCTAATGTTGATTAACCTTATGTAAAGCTGGCAGCTTGTTCCAGTGTTTGGTTAACATTATGCAAAGCTGGCAGCTCGACCCAGTGTTGGAAAACCCTATGTAAGGCTGGCAGCTCGTTTCAGTATTGGTTACCCTTATGTGAATTTGAGCCTTGGTTCGTAGAACGATGTATGGCGAAATTGCTTTTCATTTCCCTCGCTTACTGCCTACTACAGATTACATCAGTTTTAGTATATAGTATATATATATATATATATATACATATATATATATATGCTTCGTGTGTGTGTGTGTTTGTTTTTATGACTTGAGATTATAACCATTATCCCTATGCATATGTATGGGTTTTACTGTACGTACGATTCTGGTCTGATATCGATTAACTTTAACGTGACCGTATGGCTACAAGTAACGCAGATAAGTTGGTTTTTTATGCTAGGCTAGGTAATGTCATGTGATTATGGCTGTGGCTATGCGGTTTACAGGATAAAGGATACCTAGGACGCGTTGGCTATCGGTTCCTCCGTTGACGTGTCCATCAGATCCATCAGATCCATTCGTCTCGATCTTCGTTCATTTGTTCATTTGGCTTTTTACACAGTGTTCATCTCATCTACTTGTATCATCGTCTGCCACGTAATCTTCGCGCTCTTCAGCTGCTGCACTTAACATTATTGTCAACTAATCTTTACCTAACCCGACGCGGTGAACACGCTGCACAAGCTAGAGGGGGAAATTGCGGCAGACGCACACGAAAATATATATGCATATATTAGGGTTCAGATATATATCTATGCGTATTGTATAATATGTATATAACAAGAACGATTGGGTAAACCATGCACGAGGAATATCTACAGAAAGCCGCCGTCTTTCAAATCATTTGGGAGTCTCCCAATTCCATTTCCAATCCAGCTTAGTTGGAGTCCGTGTCCGAATCGCTGGGCGGAACCGGGGAGGCCGTCACCTTGGAGGCCGCCGTGCTCGGAGGTTCCTCGCGAATGGGACGCGTTGCCGCCAGATACGCGTTCGTGGACTCGCCGTGCGTGGTCTCGATGCCAACCCTGAAAGGCAAGAGATTTGCGGTTAGTAAATGTACTCTATTCACTGACTTCCTTAAATTTCGCTTAAACTAAGGCTTAACCGGAAGTTAAAGTGTATGTTAGGATAGTCAAGAAAACAATCACTTAGCTAACTCTAGCTGCCGGATAACTCTTAATGTTTATGTTAAGATATTAAGATAATTAACTTCATGACAAAATAATAGGTAAGTTTAACTTAAGCTAAAGCTTAACCGGAATTTAAAGTGTATGTTCGTTGTTTGTTTGTAAAATATATAAAGCTCAAAAGGTCATAAGGTCAATTTAATAAGAAAACATAGTATTTTTATATACTGCCAAACTAATTGAGTAAGCCTTATAAATATTTTATTTTGTTTTCTCATATTTTATTTAGAGTAAGGGTAAATGCTAAATTTTATAGAGCTCATTCAAAACTTTGTTCTAACCAAATAATGAATAGGATAATATTAGCTTTAAAATTAAAAACAATCAAATCGATAAGATCTAGGTAACATTATTAAATAACATTTTATTTCATTATTTCTTTTTACAATCTGTTCCATTTAATATTATTTTTTTAAATAATTAATAACATTAATAAAATAGTTTAAAACTAAACTAATTTCTAACCACAACGAATAAAATATTTTACAACTAAAAAAAAATACTTCTATCGTTAAGCTGGTTAACCATTTCAATTGAATGATTGGAAGTTACTCACTTGTACTCGTGCCGTGCCAAGTAGCGGACGTACTTCTCCGGCGGCTCATCGGCATCCGAATCCTGGACACTCACGGAGCGCACGGTGGTATGCGAGACCTGCGTGGCGGGCATAGTGAACTCCACGAAGGCGTATGGCGCCAGTTCGCTGGGGATCTGGTCGTACGAGGTGAGGGCCATGCGGCAGACCAGCTGATGTGTGGTATAGGCACCTAGCCAGAAGAAGGGCCAAGGTTAATATACAGTGTACCCATTTGATTGAATTTGGTTAAGCCTTAAGTTTATATTTCAGCCCAAAAAGGTTACTTGCCAACCCAACCCGCCTGGCAATACTAACTTGGTATAAATGAAATTGATTTACAAAGATAGACATCTAACATATGTATACTCACCCTGACCCTCCTTGGGCAAACGAGGACATCGCCACACTATGGCCCGATGATGATGCTCGTACTTGGCCTGTCCGGAGGTGACCTCGATCAGTGACTCCTGCAGCGTGTCCACGGCGCCCAGGATACGCTCGATGCCCTTGATCTTGCCCGTTCGCCGATGTGCCGACTTCACGGAACCATATCTGCTCCAGCCCCAGGGGAAAGAAATGTTATTAGATGACCAGAAGTAAACTAGAAGCACTAACCATACAACATATAGACTGGTCATTTCATACGACGCATTTGGACACAAAAATTCGGACCGCGGAAGGTCCACCGCTCTCACAGCAGCAGGTCCATGCACTTCGTGTGCGTTCGGGTTTTTTACTCTCTCATTCTTATTCTCATTTTTATGCTCGCGCACTCATTGCACGAGTTCAGTCGTTCAGTCGCAGAGAGGCGCTTTTTGAAGAAGGCTGTCCTGCGCTTGAATTCGTCTTTGTATGTATGCGTGATCATGCATTCTCATACACGGGAGCATGTGTGCGTTTATTTCATTTCGGCGCATTAAGAATATTTTGTCTTTTGCCACTTTTCAAACTTGGTACCCTAAGAATATGGGCGTATTTACTATTGGGTTATAATATAAATATTTATATTATATGTTATAATATATTTTTTTAATATTTCAGCATACATTCTATTTTTGTTTACAAATTCAAATCAGTGGTAGCAGTAAAATGTTTTACATATATGTATGTATTCGAATTTATAGAAATCAGTCCACTGAGATGGGAACAGGGCATATCGCAGTCGTGTCACTTGAAACACCGACTGCTCTTCAGTGGTTGAGAAAACTTCAAACTAAATAAATTCTTGTCGATGTTTTGCGAGCGGTTGGTGCCTGCATACCCTACCGACGATTGCTTTTCAGGGGAGCGGGCTTTTAGGACACTTGTTTTAAATGTTATGTTTAGTGATCTTTGATTGATTTATTTTTTAATGATTCGCAGTGTTATTTTAATTGTCTTTAAACAAGTAATAAATAATAAAATACTTTTTATATTTTTGAAAATGTAAATGGAACAAATGATAATAATTTATTTTAATGATTATAATTTTAGATTTTAATTGTACCAATATCTTGAATTTTAACGAATTCTTTAAAGACAATTAAAATAACACTGCGAATCATTAAAAAATAAATCAATCAAAGATCACTAAACATAACATTTAAAACAAGTGTCCTAAAAGCCCGCTCCCCTGAAAAGCAATCGTCGGTAGGGTATGCAGGCACCAACCGCTCGCAAAACATCGACAAGAATTTATTTAGTTTGAAGTTTTCTCAACCACTGAAGAGCAGTCGGTGTTTCAAGTGACACGACTGCGATATGCCCTGTTCCCATCTCAGTGGACTGATTTCTATAAATTCGAATACATACATATATGTAAAACATTTTACTGCTACCACTGATTTGAATTTGTAAACAAAAATAGAATGTATGCTGAAATATTAAAAAAATATATTATAACATATAATATAAATATTTATATTATAACCCAATAGTAAATACGCCCATATTCTTAGGGTACCAAGTTTGAAAAGTGGCAAAAGACAAAATATTCTTAATGCGCCGAAATGAAATAAACGCACACATGCTCCCGTGTATGAGAATGCATGATCACGCATACATACAAAGACGAATTCAAGCGCAGGACAGCCTTCTTCGAAAAGCGCCTCTCTGCGACTGAACGACTGAACTCGTGCAATGAGTGCGCGAGCATAAAAATGAGAATAAGAATGAGAGAGTAAAAAACCCGAACGCACACGAAGTGCATGGACCTGCTGCTGTGAGAGCGGTGGACCTTCCGCGGTCCGAATTTTTGTGTCCAAATGCGTCGTATGAAATGACCAGTCTATATGTTGTATGGTTAGTGCTAGAAGTTAGTCATCGCCAGAGATGCTCACCTGAAGTGCTTCTCCACGCGGAACAGGTAGATCCAGCACTCGGGAATGGGGAAGCGCACCGAGACATCCTCGCAGGGGATCTGGCCCAGCTTGCGGGAGGTGAACCCGGGCACCAGGATGTCGGCCCGCAGCTCCACCTTGTTGCCGGTGACGCACCAGGTGGCCTTCAGCTGCAGCGGAAGTTCGCGATTCTTAGGCGGACGCACACGGAAGCGCAGCAGTTCAATGTAGTTGGCATCGGGCGGTTGGAATCTGGGGGGGAATGTCAATAGTTATGGTTTAATATCAGTTGTAGAAGACCCATTCATCAGTAATATTATTATTATTAATATTATCTTATGTTTTTAATTGTTAACTACGCGCTCGCTTTTGCCAAGTTTATTAGTTGTTCATTTGCTTAGGTGTTCATTTGCTCAACTGTTCATTAGCTTAGCTGTTCATTTACTTAGCTGTTCATTAACCTTACTGTTCATTTCCTCTTAGCTGTTCATCTGGTCAGCTGTACATTCGATCAGCTGTTCATTTGCTTAGCTCTTCAATTGCTTAGCTGTTCATTAGCCTTCTAGCTGTTCATTTGGTTAGCTGTTCATTTGCTCCTGTTCACTTGCATACTTGTTCCTATGTTTATTGATTTATTTAAGCTCTTGCTTAGCTTTTAAGTTTCAAATATTGGTTAATTATTTTTGTTTCTTGTGTTGTAAGAAGAATTGATTACTCTACACTCTAATGCCAATCTACATAGCACTTACTTGATGGTACGCGTTCTCTCGTACTCCTGCTGATTGACCACGCTGTGGAACTCGACGGCCTCCAGCCGGATCCACTCCTCGGTGGCCACCGGGATGATGTCGTGCCGGCCGACGACCTCCTTCCCCTGCCGCCACATATCGTTCACGCCCAGCTCGATGGTGGGCATGCCGGTGAGGAAGGCGAGGAAGAATAGTCGCACCCGGGCAATCTGCTTGAGGATCTTGCCCTCGAAGTCCTGCTCCACAGTGATCTCATCCACGGCGGTCACCTGGACCTCCTCCATCTTGTAGGTGAGTGCCCGCTCGCGCAGGGCTGGCAGCTTGAACAGTGCCTCCTCGATGCACACGGAGAACTGCTTCATGTCCTCGTAGTTCATCGATCCGATCTTAAAGAGCTGCGACGACTGCGGCGCATGCTCCACGGGCAGGCCCAGTTTCTTCAGGTCGCTGCCGAACTCCTTCACGCCCTCATAGTCGCCGGCGATGGCATATTGTGCAAACTTGGTCAGCTTATTGGTGATCCGTTCCGCCTTGGTCACCTGACCGGGCCGCACGCCGGGTCGCTCCTTGTAGAAGATATACTGCAGCTTCATCGTGAATATCTTGCCAAACTGGTCGTACTGCTGGGCCCCGATCTCCGACACGGAGTACGACGGCTGCAGGGGCAGCTCCTGGAAGGGCTGCTTGTCGCCGGCCTGGTTGAGCAGCTGCACCACCGGCACATCGTTCTGCACCACCAGGCGCACGAAGATCTTCTTCCAGAAGCGCTGCCCAGTGATCTTCTTCTTGTTGGGCTGACGCAACTGCATCTCCCAGCCGGGTCCCATGTAGTGCAGTCGCGGGAACTCCTCCAGCGGCTGCGACACATCCTCATCGTACAGCGGTGTCTGCGGCGTGTCCTGTGAGTCCGAGCGCTTCATGGCGGTGCCATCGGTTGCCGGTGGACCAGGTGCCGGAAAACCGCTCACATCCTCGAAGGGATTCACCGTGGCGGCCGGCGGTGATGCACTCTGTGAATGTGCCTGCGACTGCGACTGTGCCATTCGTGCCGGCGGCGGTGGTGGCGCCAGCTGGGGAGCCACACCGCCAATGCCCTCCGCCTTGGGCCGGATGACCACGCTGAACTCCTTGTCCACCGACTCCACGGAATCGGAACGTGCCGGCGCCTGCATGGCGTAGAACTCGTCGTCCTCGTTCCCGAATCCGTCGTCCGCCGCCGAATTGGTGTCCCCGAAGGCATTCGCCGAGATCGTGGACGATCCGAAAGCACTGTCACCCCAAGCTGCAAAATGGAACACCTCGGTTAACGCCAGTACACAATTACACTTCTAAAATCATAATATTAAATACTATACATATTAAGTTGCAGGACCTTATATTAAAATTATTTCATTAAAGTGGAAAATATGGGATGGGTTCTATTTATTTTAAATATATTTAAGTTGTTTCAATATAATTTAAATACTTTAAATATTTAAATCTATTCCGAAAGTGGAATATAGGTTAAATTAATTAATGCACATAGACTAAAAAGACATACTATATAGAACAGTTTTGTTACTTATATTATAATAATAAATGTTTTGAAAAATAAAAATTAAAAATAATTATTAAGTTTCTTAAGGAAGTTGAAAAAAGTTGATTATTCCTTAAAACGCATGATAAATGATTTTATAACAATCTAATAAAATAACCAAAACCTGGTATTCCATTTAAAATAAAATTATTTTTCATATCTGATTAACGTTAAAATTAAAATTTTATACATTTTTTTTATGATATTCTCTCCATTTAGTTTATAGTATAAGCGTTACGAAAAAATTTTTAAAATAAGCTTTTAAATTGTTTTTTGATTGCTATTTCCATAAGCTGAAAAACTGTGCATACATTTTCGGATTTCCGAACCGCCTGCCCAAAAAACTCACCATCTCCGCCCGTGGGCGTTATGGCTCCGGATCCCCCGAAGCCGTCCAGGATGCTGATGTTGTCCTTCTTCACCGAGTCGAACTTGGCCGAGAAGGCATCGAATTCGTCCGGCTCGGCGGCAAAGATGTTGGCCGCATAGCTGGGCGGCTCCACCCTTTCCGGTTGCGTTTCCGGTTCCGGTTCCGGATCGTCCACGGCAAAGATGTTGGCCACCACCACGGGAGCGAAGGCGGGCTCCTGCTCCTCCTCCTCGGGACTGGCAAAGGGATTGGCGGACAACTGGCCGCTGGCCAGACCACTGGTGGCCACCGGGAAGTCCAGTCCGGTGTCCATTTGCTCTGGCTCCGGCTCTGGCTCTGGTTCGTCCTCGGCCAGGACGACATGGGCGGTGGACACCAGCGATTCCGTTGGCGGACTGTGATCGGAGATGGGTGGATCGGTTTCCGGTTGCGGTTCCGTTTCCGTTTCCGGTTCGATTTGTGGCTCCGGCTCTTTCACTGGCTCCGGCTCTTTCACTGGCTCCGGCTTGACCTCCGGCTCATCCTCGTCATCGGAGCGGGGCAGATCCTCCACCGTGGTGATCTCGATGTCCGGCGTGGGCGCCCTCTGCCTGCTGGCCGTTTCCGGCGGTGCAGCCATGTGGTTGTTGGCCCCCGTCTGTCGCTCCAATCCAGTGGCCGCCTGCGGTTGGGAGGTTATGTCATGGGTGCTCTCGTCCGGTCGTATCAGCAGGGATGTAAATACCGGCTCATCCCGCGAGTTGCTGCCCTCTCCGTCTCCATGGCGTTCCTCCTGATCCCGCTGATGCCGCTGCTCCTCCTGTCCACCATCCTCCGGTTTCGCCGTCTCGGGCAGATCGTCATGCAGCAGATCCGGTTTGGGTGCTGGCGGTGCTTGTGGCTGCTCGAAGAGACTGAGTATGTCCTCCTTGGACTTGGGTGGCGGTGGCTTGGGCGGCCTGCTTGCCGTGGTGCCGAACATGTCCAGCAGGTCATCCTCTGCGGCTGGAGGAGCCGCAGCCACTGCCGACACCGGTGGTGGTGGTCTTTGCGGCGCCGCCACCTGCCCGGGGGGCGTGGGACGTGGCGGAGCGGGACGTGGCGGTGGTGGGCGTGGCGGCTGCTTTGCCGGTGTGGCGGGCAACGGAGCTGCCGCCTGTATGTTCGGCACTGCCGTGGGTACCGCAAACGGATTGTCCATGGGCACAACACCTGCGCCAGATCCAACGCCAGTGCCCATTAGATCCACCACTCCACTGGAACCGCTGTCCACCGACACGTCCAGCAGGTCGGCCAGCCCGGAGTCGGGAGTGGGACTGGGCGAGTGCAGATCCCGCATCGACACCGGACTGGGCGATCGGGTGGCCGGGATGCGACCCAACAGCTCCGAACTGGTCTCCTCCAGTTGACTGGACACCGTGCTAATCAGATCCTGGGTGCTCTGCGGTGGCGCCTGGGGGCGTGGCGGGGGCGGGTGTGCGTGCTGTTGCTGCTGCTGTTGCGGTGGCCTCTTGCCACCCTCGATGTCCTCCTCCTCGGCGGCCGACTTCAGGCTCAGCGCATCGTCCTCCGCCTCGATGGTGGTGCCGAAGAAACTCATCGCCGGATCGAGATCATTGTCACGGGCTGCCTCCGACTCCGCCTCCAGCGGTTCCGGCTCCGCTTCGAGATCATCGCCACCGAAGGCAAAGGGATTGGAGGCACCAGTGGCTAAATGGAAAGATTGGGAAATGTTATTGATTGGCAACAAGAAAGGAGGCAAATTGCATATTCTCATCACCATAAAAAAGTGAAATTTTAGATTTGATAAGTGAGTCTTGAAAATAAACTACAGTCAGTATTATAGTATAAGTAATAGTTCAATACTAAATAATATAATTCCTACACCAAACGTAGTAAGTCCAAATATTTTGTTCTCAATTTCAACATATTCCCTTCATATTCTATCAATCTTCACTTGTCTACACCTAAAAAAAAAAAATGAAAATTTAGTGTTAATATAAATATTAATTCAATACTAATTAACGTAACCCCTAAACTGTTCAGTCTCATTTCTATATCGAAGAGTTTAAAACTGAAGTTTGAGCCTTTATTTTAAAATCACATAAGTGTTATGTTGTTAATTTCGTGGTATTAATTTAATTCTCATCTTATTCAGAAATTTGTATACATTTATATATACTGTAACAATTATTTAGTGACTATTTTTTTATTGAGTATACAAAATATAAGTTGCATTGCCACATACCTGCTCCAAAGGGATTATCCGTACTAGATTCCGGCTCCGATTGCATGAGAAACGGATTGGCGGCCATGTCGCAGCCATCCAGGTCGTCGTCCATCAAGAAGGGATTCGCCATGATGTCCGCCTTTGCTTTTTCGAATTCGATTTGTTTATAAGAACTTTGGTTCTCTAGAGTCTAGAGTGTAGAGTCTAGAGTGTAGAGTTTAGAGTCTAAAGTCTAGAGTGTGGAATGTAGAGTCTAAAGCGTAGAGTCCAGAGTCTAGATTGTAGAGTCTAGAGTGTAGAGTCTAGAGTCTAGAGCGTAGAGTCTAAGGGCTTAGCGCTCGATCAGCTCGCTCTCTAGCAGCTTGATTTCCGTTTCGCCTGGCGCTAGATTCTCGGCAATGGAGGTGTCGAACGGGTCGATCTCGATGTCCTGGGCCGGCAGCGCCGGTCTGGAGTGCGTCGAGGGCGTGAGGACCTTGTCGCCCAAGCCCAGCTCCTGGGCGTCGCTCTGGACGTCTAGGACGTCGGTGGTGATCGCCGCAGTTCTTGTCTCCGGCAGCAGTTCGTCCTCCAAGAGCTTCAGCTCGGTCTGTCCCGGCCGCAGATTCGCCGCAATGGAGGTGTCAAATGGGTCGATGTCCTCCTCGGAGTCGCCGCCGCAGTTGGTTAGCCGCTTTCGTTCCTGGGCGGGTGTGAGTACCTTGATGTTGATGTTCTCCTCGACGGCCAGCAGCACCTCGGCTGGGACCGGAGTGGGTGGCGCCCTGGGATCGAAGTCCGGGTCGGAGAGACTGTGCCGCAGCGTGGCCGGCTGCGAGATTAGGTCCTTCTCGATGTGCTTCAATTCGATGGCACTGAGCTTCGCCTCGGGCACGTAGGACGTGTCAAAAGGATCGGCGTCCTCGGCCTCGCGCTCTCGCTCCTGCAGTGGATTACCGGATGGGGCGTAGTACGGCGTCAGTGGCTTCTTGTTGGCCCCCAGCTCGTTACCCGCTCCCAGGAGATCCGGTGCCGGCACCAGAAAGCCCACACTCTTCGCCTGGATGTTCAGGCTCAGCGAGGACTTGCGGCGGGTGGCGTCAAAGTCCGGCTGTATTTGGTCTACTACTTTCACCTGCGTCGGCTGCTCGTTGACTGCCTGATCCGCTCGTGGATCAAAGTCCGGGTCACTCAGGGAGTGCTTGAGTCCTCCTGTGTCTGAGTCTTTGTTCAACAGCTCGCGCTCCAAGAAGCGCAGCTCCGTGGCCTTGGGCTGCACCAAAGCCGATACGGCCGAGGTGTCGAAGGGATCAAAGTCCTCCGGCTCCTGGTCGACACTCAAAGTGGGTGCCAAGGGTGCGGGCACCACCTGGCTGAGATCGGTGGCACTGCCGGCGAGAAGATCACGCGTCGGGGCCGCTAGCGAGGATGTGCCAGTGGGCAGGGAATCCTCCTCGGCCCGCGGATCGAAGTCGTCGTCCTCCTCGAGTACGGTGGTCTTCTTGATCACCTGCTCCGCGTAGTTGGTGTTGAAGGGGTCGTCGTCGGGATTCTCCTCCTCGTCGTCCGAAACGTAGATGGCGCCGGGCACGATGTGGGGTCCGGTGGGCGGACGGACTGGTGGCGGTGGACGCTTGGGTTTACCTGGCGATAAAAAGACAATTGGGTTTGGGTTAATTGATTAGCTTATGACTTTTAAAGGCACTCAGATTATTGGTTGTGCTTATTTTAAGAAAGGCTGAGCTTTTTGCTTTTCAAATCACTATTAAAGGTGCCTGAAGGTATGCAAGAATTTATTTGGGGTCCGAAAGTCCGATTAATTCGCTTCAAACAACCACTTTCAATTTTTCACTGCATACTTTTAAGCACCTTTGTGAGTGGTTTTTAAACTCTAGTGATTTTTGTGGCAAAACAAGGTGAGAAAAACCAGTACATATTGCTAAGATCCACCCTAATGCCCAACATCTAGTTAGAACGATACATTTTGATTAGCTATATTAAAGCAATCGAAATATTTGGAAGGCCAAAAATTTTTGTTTACATGTTTGGTGGTATAGATTATATTTTGTTTTCAATTTAATCAAGTTTTTGTCATTAAATACTTGAATTTAAGTTGATATTTAGACATTTTCAACGATTTTCATTTTTTAACATGAATTTTTAAAGGGTGCTACATAAATCGCTGCGGTTTTAAAATCACTTATGGGTCTCATTGATAATAAATATATTGTTGCACATTTTTATATACCTTAATAAGTAATTTCAAAGCACTGGTGATTTCTGTAGACTCTTTCAACACTTTTGTTAGCCTTACAACCTTTAAATTCAGGTTTTTGAGAGACCTTCAAAGTACTCGAGTCTTGGGAGATTACTGGAACACACCAGATTTCAATAAAGCCCGACACAATAGAACCTTTTCGAAATGGAAATTCACCTTCTTCAGGCCTATCTTCTCAAGTAATCTTTTGGAGCAGACTTAAGCATTAGCAGAGGGACTTCTCACCTGTATCCGGTTCCGGTTCCGCTTCGAATTCGGCCCAGCTTCCTTCGCCGAATGCTTCAGTTGGCAGTTCCGCGGCGGGCAGAACCACCTGGCTAACGATGGTGACCTCCTCCCGTTTGGTCAGCGACTCGGCGGCTAGTTCGGCGAACTCGTCGTCCTCCTCGTCCTTGAGGGCATCGAACTCGGCGAGGTCTGGGTTAAGGAGCTGGTTGTCCGGATCCTGATCCGGATCCTCCTCGTCCTCCTCGTCGAGGGGCTGCTTGGGCTTGATCAAGTGCAAGTGCAGCGAGACACTGAGATCGATGGGGGCCGCGGAAAGATCGGGCAATTCCTCGTCAAGATCGTCGAGTAGGTTGTGCTGCGGCTCGGCGGCGGCGGCCGCTAAAAGATCCGCCTCCGGATCGGCTAACTCTACGCTCTCGCTAAGCAGTAGATTCTGGATGCCCTTGCGCAACTTACGCTTGGGATTGGCGAGGGCGACGGCGTGCTCGCGGTCGACGCGACCCGATAGAACCTCGACGGCGGCGCCGAGACTGACGAGCTTCTTGTTGCCCTTGCCCTTAGAGCGGTCGGCTCCGACAATGACCTTCTCGGCGTAGGCGGTGTCAAAGGGATCGGGTCCGTCGTCGGCTAATACGGGCGAGTCTGGGACGACGGCTAATTGTAGCTCTCCGCTGGTGATCGCCTCGATATAGTCGGTGGCAAAGATGTCATCGGCCTCGTAATCGTTGGCCTCCTCCTCCGACTCGGACAGGTGGACAACGGCCTCGGCTAGCTTGTCACGCTGCGCTTCGATCTGGCCCAGACGCTGACGCTCCTGCTCCTGCCGCTCCTGTTCGCGTCGAGCGGCCTCCTCCTCCTCCTGCTTCTTCTTCTCGGCGGCCGAGGGCAGGCGCTGGTAGAAGGACTCCTTCTTGATGCGATCGAGCTCGTCCTGGGTCTTGTGTAGGATGCTATCGACACCGGAGGTGAGTGCCTTGAACTTGGCCCACTCCTCGTCACCACCGCCTTGACTCTGCTCGCCGGTCTGTTGCTGACCCTGGCCCTGCTGATGATGGGTGGCAAACCCAGTGGCCTGTTGGTGAAGACCCGCTCCCGCTACCGCTCCTGCTCCTGCTGACGAACCTGCTGCCGCTCCCGCTGACGATCCCGAATGGCTGGCTGGTGGCTCGTGGTGGGCCTCAACGTCTGATGCCGCTCCGTCGGATTCGCCGGCGTCCGATTTGGTGGCCGCCGCCTCCTGTTTGGCCTTTAGGTCGCGCTTGTACTGCTCGAGCTCCTCCTCGGTGAAGAGCTCCTGATCCTTTTTCGACTTCTTCTTTTTCTTTTTTAGGCCCTTTGGTAGCTTAAGCATTATCTAATTGCGGAGACATCGAGATCGGTCTGCAAATAGGTCGTGAAACTCACTGACTCCGGATCGAACTGGAGATAAGGTGGTGGTAGTGATGGTGGTGGACGTGGACGAGGACGAGGACGTGGAGGTAGTTACGGCGGCTACGTAGGATTCAGTTTGGTTCTAGTTTTGGATGGGGTCTTGGAACTGCGGGTGGGAGGAGCAGACGGGGGGGGTATTATGTAAGCTATTGCTATATGCATGTCTCTCTCTCCAAAATCGAACCGGTATCTAAGCTGGGGTATCTAAAATCTGATGGTTTTATGGGTTTTATGATAATGCGAAACTACGGCTTGCCTCCCGCCCACTCACCGCCGCCTTTGTGTGGATGTTCCAGTCGTTATTGCTTAAGAAATTGAAAGGAAACAAAAGAAAACCCTAAGGAAAGTCCAGCAAAAACCTCGATTGTAGGGAAAATTTTGATACATATGTATATATATATATAAATATATATGTATGTATGTGTGTAAAGCGCTCGATTGTGTACCTACACGTGAACTTGCCGAATTGCCAGAGCTTTTCCACCACACCACACACCACCGAAAGAAAAACGCAACAACAACAGTTGAGTCAGTCAAAGCTCAGAAACCCACGCACACACACACTCTCACACACACACAACACACAGACACTAAGCACGCCAGTCGGAAAAGTTTCGCAGCCCGAAAAAGTAGGCAACACATTCAGTGGCCATTTATCTATTAAATATTTTCAGATTGTTTGTTTATACTTTTGACAATACATTATGATTGGCCGGTTGATTTTTTGGTTTGGCATAATAATAATCGTATTTATAACTAAAGTTTCCACTACTAAACCTTTGATTAAGGCTTTGTAATGCTTTCATTCACTTCTCCACATTTATTTCATAAAATAATGGTGTTTTTAAGGCGTATACCACTTTTCTTTCGAACAGATGAGTTTAAATATATATATATATATTCTTTTTTTCTTTATAGGAGTTGTAAAAAAAACTATTTTATGAGGAATTCATTTTGAAACTGACCTTTAAATGTAAATATCATCGAAGAAATAACTTTATTTACGAAGACTTGTAAGACTTGAAAAACGTTCTTGTAAATTGGTTTTATCTCGAAAGTTTACAAAATAGTCAGACATTGAATGGGTGTCTACGCCTACGTCTCTATTGGCAACCGAGACTTGAATAATACCTTCTTATTGGCGACCAAAGGCAAGAATTAAAAAAGGTTTAGTAATAGTACATTAAACTGCACGTTTTGTTTTGTTGAACTAAGAACAATTCATGTTAGAGAAGTTACTTTATATTCAATTTCAGATCATACCTTTTAGAGAACCAGGAAAATATAGTTGCTCAGATAAATGTCTTATGTGTGATGTGCGAAAGTTCTTAGATTGAGGAGAAGGTCTTTAGATTTGTGTTGACGCACTTCCGAAAGCTTGAATAGCTTTAATTTTCACACACAAGTCACTTGGCACATTGCCCAAGTAAAAGTTATTTGATCTTGATATTGAAAGCGTTTGATTGGTTTTTTCGCCAGCGTATATATATATATAAATATGCTTATATATGTACATACATATATATATAGAGAGAGAGAGAGAGAGGAGAGTAACACTTTTTCCTTTATGGTTTTTGGCTTCTTTATCGTTTTCGAATCGTAATCGAAACGGTAAATTTGCTTGACGGATGTAATGAATGTTCCAAAAGGCGAGGAAAATAGAAAGACGAATGCAGCTATTACGCTCTCTCTCTCTCTCTCTTTCTTTTATCTGAAAATGGGGGGCAGTAGTACCCTTCTTCTTCTTTCCCTTCTACATCTTTTTTGTTTCTCTTTCTACTTCCTCTTTCTCCTGCTTCCAAAATTGTGTTGTTGGGAAAAATCGATGATTCAGAGACGCACTTTTCAGGCAAGTGCGAGCAGGACAACGGATTCGTGGAAGTGAGATAGCACCCACGCACACCACTTCACGCACACACGCGCGCACACACACACACACACACACACGCGCTTACATACAAATGTAAAAATATAGAAATATGTATGTATGTACAAATATTGGGCCCCAAAAAATGTATTTTTCGTAAGCCTGATTTAAGCACTTTGAAAAAATTGTATGTTGCTGACTTTTCCCCAGTATTTTCCTGGTGGCATGTGGAAATTATGCAACTTACGTCTCACTCTTAAGCACACTTTTATCTCAACGAAGAACCCGATTCGTACGAGGCAAAAAAACACCGTTTCACTCGATTTTTTCTCCTTTCTTTTTAGACCCAATATTCTCGCAAAAAAATTGTAAATTAGCAAAGAGCAAACGCTTTTGGGGTTTGGTTTTAGCGAATTTCTTGGTATTTTCGTTCCGATTCGCTTCGGGGGCTTTACCTCTGATTTGAACTATCGGGAAATCTAGCACAGAATGAATAAAATGTCATGAATTCCATAGGAAGTGCTTTTCGCAGGCAGCGACGCCGGCAGAGGTTGTGGCAGCGCCAACGGTATATCCTGCAAAAGCTTTAGAAAAGCTTTCAAAAAGCACTGTCCTTCAAGGAAGTTTTCCTCGCACAGTTGAATTTTTGCTATCCGTATCCTTCAGGACTTTTTTTTGCTGCTCCAAAAGCTCCAAAGCACTAACAAAGAGAGAGAGTAAGAGAGAGAGAGAGTGGGAGAGGAGAGGGAGGAGAAAAGAGAGCTGTCATATACGTCACCGATAATTTGACACTTGACATTTGAGCTTGATTTTGGCCGCACATGCGCATCCCTGGTTAGCCAGCCCTGAAAGCAAAAAGGGTTACAATTGGAATTTGGCTGGAACGCGAGTAAAATTGTAGTAAAACTGGTGGGAATAAAATAATGTAAAATTAATGTAAAATAGCAGTTAAATTCTTTGACAAATTTTGGTAAAAACCTGTTTTGTCTAATTTGTTTTTATTCAATAAATAGAATTTTAATTTTTTTTAAATCTGTAAGCAATTGCACTTTACTTTAACTAGTTGTAACAATTTTTAAACAGAAAATGATTAAAAACTCCTTCTCTTGAAAAAGCTTTGCCACCGATATATAAGCCGATAGTATCTGAAAATAAGGGAATTAAAGATATTCAAATAATTCAAATTAGCTTAACGAGACTTTTAAGAAATTTAAGTATTTCCGGTACATTTTATAAAAAAAAAGCATATGATAGAGTTTTAGAAAATCATGAATTTCGTAAGTATAATGTAAAGTGTATTACAAATTTGCGATCTTCTGGACTTTCAACTTCGTAATAATGTGTTTTTGTTTGATACTATTAAAACGATTTTATTTTATATTAATATATGCTTGAATATATTTTGTACATAGATTATTATCTGCTCCTTATATTCTAACAACAGGCAATTTTTTCTGTTTAATTAAAACTTGTTTTGTATTTGTTATATTCATTAGTTTTTTATGTTTTATTTTTAAGTCAAGTTCGAAACGTACTTGATTTTATTCTTGAGCTAAGAACACACATTCCTAAAACAAGAATCCAAAATCAAGTACGAACGACTTAAGACTAGAGCAGGTTTTTTTCTGAGTGTACTTATCGGAAGTACAGGTACTCAGGTATTTTGGACTCCAAGCCCCTGTGATACGATAGTGATCGCAATTGAAATCGTTTGGCAGGTTGTTCATGGCCCCATTAGAAGGAAATTGAATATCTTACCGCGCCCTGGGTTTAATCAGCCCGCCCAATACTTTCGGCAATTGGCTAACGAACGAATCGACAATGTTGACTTAGGTCCAAAACTACAGATGATGGGACAGGTACACAAACACAAATATTCGTAAGCTATCTCGCTCTCTTTCGTACCCAATTGTGTATTTTTGGTGACAACTATCTCTTTCGATTTCGTGTACACTAAAAGAAAACCTATTATATTTAAACAAATTCATGCCATCTACGAAATTTAGAAAAGATAAGAACCTAGATAATTTTGTTCAAATCATTATTTAAATTTTACAACATTTTTATTTTGCATATTTTGTATAGTAACTATGAATAAAGCAATGGTGACCAAAAAAATAACTTAAAAACTACTAAGCCAACATTTTTAAAATTTTTCAAGCCTATTTATTGCATCAAAATGTAGTCTTAATAATAATTTATAATTATCAAAGTTTCGATTATCAGGTACTTTGCTTAAGAATATATATTTTTATGAATTCTTTAATTAAAACCAAATCAAAGAAAGTGCATTTACTTAGCTTATAGTTATTAAGATAATTATTTAAAATATTTAATTTAAAAAAATTCAAATATAAATATATTTTTAGATAATAAAAAAGGTAGGTAGGTAGCTTCCCGAAAACAGTCTTTATTTGAGCTGCCCCTTCGAATTACAAACCAATCTGGCTTTCCATGCGACAACTGTTGAACCACCAGGACTGTATGTCCCCGTAGACCTGCGTCTTGTGGCCAAATCCGGGGGCATGGAGCCGGGCGCAGAGGTCGCAGAAGGGCGAACTGGAGGCCAGGCGGTAGTGGCGTCGCCACCAGAAGTACCCGACGTACTCCTTCGGATTGCCGGCCACGTAGCTCAGGTGTCGGGCCAGATCCGCCACCGTCTCGAAGCGGTTGGCATCGATGTACGAGTGCGGCGGCAGGATGCGCGAGTAGTCCGCTCCGCCGAAGACCACGGGTATGATGTTCCGGTGCAGGATATTGAAGAGCTTCTCCGTCACGTAATCCTCGCACAGCGAGTTCTCGAAGGCCAGGTAGAACAGGTAGTCCGTGTCCAGCATCGATTCGCACCGCGGATCACCACGTTCGCAGCTATAGATAGATGAGTACATTTTTATCATTGATTGAATTGTTAAGTTAAACTGGTTCAGGAGCCTTACCAGAGAAACTTTTTTTTAAATTAATTTTTGTATTTTTTGCTTAATCGATAATGTACAAATTAGCACTTGATCATCTTGAATGGGTGACCTACAAATTCTTGGAATTGGCTAAAAATAGTCCATTTGGCAGAATTTAAAAGGCCTTATTTTTACCCAAAAAGGGAATTTTTCAAACCGATTTTGTTAATATTTATTACTTTTTAAAGATCGTAGGTCATTGTCATTTTATCGTTAAGGTGTGCATCATTTCGATACTTTTTATGTCATTTTGCTGTATAGGTGTTTGCTGAGTGGAGTTTTAGAATGGGTAAAAAGGCATGGCACTACCTTCCAATACCTAAATCAAACATAATTAAGATTTCATTAAAAAATTAAATTAAAAGTTATACAGCTTCTACAAGCAAGTGCCTTTTCACTATTAACTCATTTCTTACTTGGCTTGGGTTTTCTGGGGATAAAGTATATTTGTCTAAAAACAAATGGATAATTTGCGGATGGCTATTAATAGAAATTGTACCTGTACTATTACTGCATCGTAAAGAACAATAAGTGTTAATAAATTTAAATCGGCAAAATCCTCCAGAGATCAGACCTTGATTTTCTGATGCAGATGGAGCCCTGATTTAGAAAATGCAACTCAACAAGAAAACTATGGCACCATTTTTGTTTAAAGTAAATAACGTTTTTACCTGTTGTCATGCCTATTTGATTTTTTATCTCCAGTTCTTTGGAACGTTTAAACATACATTTTCCCTCACGGCCTCAAAATGATTTCTAATTTTTTCCAACTAAATTTGAGCATTTATTAAAGTTAATTAAAATAATTGGAAAATTGACAATAGCTACGATAAATATATGCTATATATTCTTGTTTAATTTATTAATAACTTATAATTTAATGTGCCGAATAAAAGTATTGACAAAAATCAAATAATTGAAAAACTTGAAAAAATTACATGTATTATATGCATTTCAAAGTGAAAATGCCTTGCAATAATAGCAATTATCAGTTATTGTTTGTTTGATTTAATGCAATTATTTTGTAACTGATGTGCAATGATAACCATTTTGATAAAAAGCCGTATCAATTTGGTCTTGATACTTGGCGTCTAACTTTGATATGTTCAAATAGAAAAAGTCGGTTTCTTAATATCAATTTTACATTATTCAATGGAAAAAATTATATCTGTGAATATCAAAATTGGTTTTTTGTTTCTCTGTGCACCAAACAGTTTTCAAATATTTTTTTATATACATATTATTTTTTTGTAAAATAATTTTGGAAATGAAATAGTCTTTTTTTTTGTAATGCCATTTGTATCATCCGCTCACCTGAGGGTTCCGCACTTCCCGTAGATGTCCACCTCGACGAACTCCTGCAGCCTTTTGGCCAGGATCTCCCTCTTGGAAAGCGTTTCACAGTGGGAGACGAACCAGGCGACCATCTTCGTCTTCCCGGCCCAGAGATTCCAGATTGCCGAGTCGTTGAACGCGGCTGGTGGTCTGCGCCAGTGGGGCCGCACACTGGGCGCCACCAGGGCGTCCGTTTCGATGTCCAGTAGCTGGCCGTAGGGCCAGACCACGTCCGAGTCCAGGCGGTAGGTCATGGTGAGGTTGTAGAAGCCGGACTCATCGTCCAGCCGGTGCTTGGTCTCGCCGGGCGGCTCCATCAAAGCGAAGACGTAGACCTGGTGGGCACTCCGCTGATGGGGAACTGGTCGCAGCAGCGGGAACATCTCCGCCGCATGGAAGACGATGGCATCGTACAGCTCCACGGCGGGCAGGAAGTCGTGCTGGTTGCTCAATTTGCACTGGTACACCGGGCAATGGAGCTCGTCGAGCAACTGCTGCGGACCGAGAGTGTCCCAGGAGAGCTTCCAACGCGGATCACCAAAGAAATCGCTCCATAGCAGAATGGTGCGGGTGGATCGGATGGATCGGGTGTTCGGGGCGCTCTGCCGGCGCTCCAGGTGATCCTGCAGGATCGCGTACTGATTGAGGAGCGGTGACTGGAGCACCCTGTGCAGGATCACCAGGATGGCGGCCAAGATTAGGAGTAGCAGCACCAAAGCGCCGTGCTGCTTACAAGCCCACAACCGACCAGATCGAACTGCCATCGACATGTGCACAACTTGGGCCAGATAACAAACGCCAACTACTCCGCAGCTACAGTGGACTCTGCCTATGATTTCTATGTTCCATAATAAAAGGACTGAAAAGGAGGCACACCTCTACAACATGTATGCATGGTATTGGTTAATAACTGTGTTAATATTCACTAATTACAAATTTATTTAAAAAATATAAATCATACTGTTTTTAAAGTATGTTATGCAAGGAATTCCAAACTCAGCTTAACAACATTTCTGTTTTATATTTGTATAAAAATATTTATTTATTTAAATTTGTGATAATTTAGAATGTTCTTTTTGGAGCTACTATACAATAAAAAATGATATAATAAAAATCAAGGAACTTTTCACATATTTTTTACAAGCAATTCTAAACACAGTTTAAAAAAAAAATTTTATTTGGTCAAATTAATAAAAATATTTTTTTAAATTTCTGATCATTTGGAAAATCATTTTTAGAGCTTCTATACAAATTTTAAATCATTTGTTTGAAAAATTTGTCGAAATTAACATTTTAAAATTAAACAAAAAAATAATAATAAGTCTATATATTTTTAAATATTAATTGGCTTAAATATTTGAAACAAGTAAAACAATCAGTTAGTGTTTTAATAAGTTAATAAATGTTTGTGATTCAGGAAAGGTATACAACTTTCCAGATACTAAGGATCCTTGTAGGGCTCTTATAGGCTGGTTCTACTGTAGTTTCTAGTTGTAGTTTCCCCGGCGAAAGGTGCGAGGCCGATAAGGCCGTTCCTTATTAATTGTCGCTCCGATAAGTTTGGGACTGTTCACCACTCACCACTCAGAACTCACACTCCTACTTGGCCGAATAAACATTGGGCCAGATTAGTGACTCCACCTTCTCCTGCTGCTCCTCAGACGGCCAGCGAGTGACTGAAGTCCAGGCAGCGCTTGAGGAGCCGGGTGAGCAGGCTGAACACCACCACGAATCCATAGACCAAGCAGGTCCTCACGAGATCCACCAATTGCTTCATGTTCCGGCGACAAGCGAGAGCCAACTACATGGGTCTGTTACTCAGTCGATGGGAAATGCGGAAAATGAAGGGCGGCGAAGGTGGGAAAGTGGGAAATTGGGGGGTGGCGATTCGGCATTTCACCTGTGGAAACACGGACAGGTGTTTCGCTGTTTCCCGGCCTCCAGACTTTCGCCACGTAATTGCAGTGGAACAGAGCAATCTCTGGCAATTATTCTAATGCACTGCCTGCCCCTTTTGGGTCGCCGGCGATATGATGATGTCCTGGAATCGAAATTAATGGCCCATTGTCATGAACACGAATTACTACGATTGCTCACGTATTTACCTTATGGTCTGGCCCACTTTGGGGGCACCAAGTTGGACGCCAAGTTAGGCGTCGGCGTCACATCGGAGTGTGATTAGCTTTCAATTAGCCGGGCAATTGACATTAGAAACAAGGACAACACAACAAGGCACTTTCGTGTTTTCCTGTCGTGAAACTCCAGCGAAAGCTATCCATTAATTTTGGGTACAGAATTATTTAAAACTAATAAGTCAATCATTTCAAAAATCTGTTTTCAGAAAGCCGCGTACTTCAATATTATTAAGAGTTACTTTCAGTGCAGAAATCCAAGAAAGAAAATATTAAATTCACTATTTTGAAAACAGAGCATTTTAATACTTTTACTTTACATTACTTTTGTAAAAGTAAAATTATATTATATGTAAAAATTTTTATTTAAATTTTCATGCCATACATAACAATAATTTAGTTCAGCATAAAAATTTGAGATTTATTTAAATGTATTGTATGATCTGTTACTCTTAAATCAAAAATGAAAAAAAAAAATTAAGAATTAATTATATCAATATTATATCATATTATATCAATATTGATAAAAGATCACTGCTAATAACTAATATTTTTCAGTCATAAAATTATACATTTGTTGAAACACTGTAATTGGACCGTTTATTCAGAAATTACTTAAGTCCGCTTTTAAAAAAACAGAGTATTTTAATAGTATTCAAAATAGTTTTCCAAAAATGTTCTATAAAACATAAAATACTTACAAATATCAACATGAAACTCCTCAAATTATTTTATCAGTAGCACAATTGACGATAGGCAGACAACTATAAAAAAAAGTTTAACCATTTGTAAACATTATTTAAACATTTTGATGGCCTTTGTACGTAAGGTTAAATTTGTTAAAAATTCTCAAAAGATTTAAGGCGTATTATGTTCACTGGTATCAAGCCAAAAGTATTTGATTACAGTCCGGCAAAGCAGACATCAATGCTGATTTATAACGAAGTGGACTACAATCGCTTACCCACCGCAACAACGAGCTATCAGCCCTTGAGCCAAAAACAGGCTGATTCAGTCCAACTACCGACGTAAAGCCGTTCCGAAAACAAGATAAGTGCAAGTATAAGTTAATTTATTGCTTGGCGCACACAAAGAGCGGAATAAATCGAATGTTCGAAATGACAAACACGAAATTTGAATACAAACTAGGGGTGCCGAGAAACATGATTACAAAGTGTACTGAGTCTGAGCAATTTGGCGAACAAATACAAATAATATAAGGATTAGTTTTGGTTCTAGGATTATTTAGTTATTTGATAACAGAAACACACACACGCGCTGCGCACACACGTAAATATATAGTATATACATAAGATGAACATCGGCTACAGGTCTACATAGTACGTTAATTATGATTACTATCACAATGGGGGGACGGCTAAATGCCGCAGCATGATCGCTGGCCGGCGGGATCACCGGTATCCGGTAGCTCCGACTCCTCCGAGTTACTGAAAGCATCCGTGTCGGGATCCGGATTGGGATGCTGTAGCCGCAACGGACTGGCATCCGGCTCCCGCTGGCTGAGCTGTTCCAGCATTAGATGGGTGAGCAACTCGAAGAGTTCGGCCACGCCCTCGTTCTCCTTGGCCGAGCTCTCCACATACTGGGCGCCCACTGTGCGGGCATATTGGAGGGCCTCCTCGTACGCCACCGCCCGCTGCTCCTCCAAATCAGTCTTGTTGCCGACAATGATCAGGGCAATCTCCGTGCCGCGCATCTGGCGCAGTTCGCGCACCCACGATTTGACTTTCTGGAACGAGTCCTGGTCGGTGATGTCGTAGACGAGCAGCGCTCCGTCGGAGCCGCGATAGTAGATGGGCCCCAGCGCATGGAACCGCTCCTGACCGGCCGTGTCCCAGATATTCAGCTGCGCCCGCCGCCCATCCTCCAGGGCCACCTTGCGTGTGACAAAGGAGGCCTGCAGGGTGCTCAGATGCTGGGCATTGAAGCGATCCTCCATGTAGCGCAGCACCAGCGACGTTTTGCCCACACAACCTGCAATTTTGGTCGGTCAATTGGTCATTATCGGGTAGTTTTATGGCCCATAATTGGCGACTCACCTTCGCCCAGCAGCACCGCCTTGAAATTAAGCGTGGGACCGCTTCTCGTCCTGCGCGCGCTCATTTTGGGTTCCCGATTCCTACGTCTCTGGCCAGGATGATCATCGGTTTTCGGAGGAAAACACGGGTGACAAAAAAGAAAACAATATGAAAATGCAAAATTTGGATTTTTTTATACGTCCGCCAGTGTGGCCGTTTGTCAGCACTACTCAAATGACACACTGTTTGCCATATGTGCTAGGGATGTGCAAAGTATATGAAAATATCAAAATATCGATATATTTTGAATTAATTGGTATTTATTTTTCTTGCCGGATGGTATTTTTCTGTCACTATCGGCACGGTCACACTGCAGAGGACGAACCGAAGCAAGCACAATATTTTTCGGTTGTTATCTATTAAAAATCAACGACCATGGCCTACGACCTGAAGAAGGAGTCGGACGTGAAGGAGTACATTGACAAGCTGGGCGTGGAGTACCGCTTCGGTTGCTACTCCGAAAAGAAGCCGGAAGGTGAGCGCGCAGCCGGCGGCCAGCGACCGAAAAGAACAACAATACATGAAGCGAATGTATAACCTAGGTTTCGCGGGGCGGCAATATTACAAAACAATTTATGGGCCAAAGCTAACCGCATTTCGCATTTTGCAGCCTGCCACCTGCTGGGCGACTATCTGGAGGGCATCAAGAAGGACTTCGAGAAGGCCTCCAAGGTGTACAAGTCGACGTGCGACGACTACGGTTACGCAAAGTCCTGCTACAAGTACGGCAACTACAGCTTCCTCGGAAAGGGCAAAAGCGGCAGCAAGGGCGATCCCCGGGTGGCCTACGAGTACTACGAGAAGGGCTGCAACCTGAACGACTCGGACGCCTGCCTTCACTCTGGCCTGCTGCTCGTCTCGCGGTCCATGCCCAAGGAGATCGACCGCAATGTGCCCAAGGTAATGGCTGCAGGATCACTCCCGTGCCATCGAAATAATAGCACAAGCACAGCGCAGAGTAGCGAAGAGTTTAGGCCCATATCTGGAATATGTGATTAAATTGCTGTGTAGTTTGTAGTTTCCCACGTTTTTTGCTTTCTTTGCCTACTTAAGAGCACCTTGTAGCAAAGGCAGAACTCAGAAAAAGGATATGCAGGATGACTACATCCCGTCCTGTAAACTACCTCCGAAATAATAGGACAATCACAGCGAACAGTCGCAAAGAATGTAGGCCCAAATCTAGAATATTGCTATGTAGTTAATATATCCCAACTTTAAAGGTTTACTTCCTAAAAGTACTGCTCACTTTGCATTCTGAAGTACGCCTAGAAGTACAGGCGAGCATCACAAATGGATTGCCTAAACTAAGTTTTACATGATCAATTTGATAATATGTCAAATCTACTACTTCAAAAAGTTCTGCTTTCCTTACATACTGAAAAACGTCCTGTAGTCAGTAGGAGATTCCAAAGCTAAGTGCAGAGTTGTCCACATAAGTAAAAAATTTTTTATATGCCAAGCATTTTTGTATTGTAAATTTTAAAAAAATCCTGATAAAGTGGACACTAATGTAGGGTCCTGAAGTTCCTGTTGATAAATTTGTTATATGTACTTTTAAAGGTACACAAATAACGTATCAGCACCTACAACTGTATTCAACATGTTATTGAAGTTCATTCAACATTTATTGTTGATGAGGTATCCATATAAAGCTAATTGTAAACTAAGAAAACATCCTGACTAGTTGTCAATGGCAGCAATAAGTACTTGCTATAAATTTAACATTTTTCCCTGTTGTCACTTGCTGTATATACAAATTATTAGGAACTATTTTTGCTTATTCTCTACAAATTAAGTTGGAAGTCAATGCCCATTATTGTATTTTATTTTGAAAGGGAACTATCGCTATGATTTCGACCTCAGTATATATATTGCTGAACCGCATAATAACCTAAGCATTATTCCTTAGGGCTTGGAGTTCCTGACCAAGAGCTGCGACATGAACAACGCCACCGCCTGCTTCTACCTCTCCGGCATGCACATCTCGGGAGTGCAAAAGAAGCCGGACCAGAGTGCGGCGCCTGCGTCCGCCGGAAGTGGGCCTGCGACGCCGCCCAAGGAGGGGAAGACGTCGCCGCTGAAGGACTCCGACTACATTGTGCTGAAGGACATGAAGAAGGCGTTCCAGTTCGCCCACAAGGCGTGCGAGCTGCGCAACATGTACGCGTGCGCCAATCTCAGCCAGATGTACGCCCGTGGCGATGGGATCGAGAAGAACGAGAAGGAGGCGGAAAAGTACAAGAAGCTGGCCCTCGAGATGCAGGACGAGGTGAAAAAGCAGCAGGAGACGCTGGGTTTCCAACAGGGCGTGGGCATGCCCAACTAACTCGAATTCAGTTCGACTTGATACCTTTTCGTAATCAGCTAAACGGCTGTTCTTTCGCCAACGCTTAGTCCAATGTGTGTGTGTTTTCTTTTTGTTTTGCATCCATCTTTATAAGGTTTCCCTTTACCAATTACCAATTACCCTTTGCCCTTTTGCCCCTTCCCAGTCGGTCTAACATTAGTGGTTAAACTAACTAGCTTGTGTTTGTGATTTCTGTGTACATAGCCGGCATTTGCTTGCGGCGTGAGTGATTGAGTGAGAAGGTGTAACGAAGAGAAATTCCTAGTTTTAATTGTTAAAGTTATATATCAAATAACAAATGATGAACCCTTAAACAATTCTGTTGATACCTTATATACAAAATATAAAATACAAAATACAAACCAGTCCCAACAAAGGACGTAGACCAAAAAAACTCCAACTGCATGGTTTTTCATTGCCATCGGGCGAATTTTTAGCGATTTCCATTTTTATTTCCATGGCCACGTTTTAAAAGGCGACGACAAAAGCCCCGACGACGTTTAATGGAACGCACGCCCAATTATCTTCACTCGCGATCGCCATTTGCCGTGACTGCTACGCGTGTTCAATTTAAAATCTATCCATACAGTGCGTTTCGCTTTTGTAGGGCAAAGTCAATCAGTAAGTCCCAGATTTCTCTTCCAGTTCAATTAAAAAAAATCCTCAGCAAACTATTTTAGGGCTTTTCTGCCTGTTTTCGTCGCATTTTCAGATCTATTCAAGTCTCAGCCAACTTTAAGGCATCCTTCACTTGTTTTGATTTCTAGAGATTTATTAAAAAGTCTATGGAATTTTTGGACTACACTTTCACATAAAATTTGTTTAACGAAACATAATTTATATATTCCTTTTCAAAACTTTGATCGTTATCTTTTCGATCGGCACAATATAACAGATTTCAAATGCGGCACTTATACATTTTTCCATTTTCCATAAGGTCCTACTCTCAAACGGAATTTTTTGGAAAGCGTTATTGAAACTGTGCAAAGGATTGAAACTTTCTTAAATAAATGTATTCTATTTGGCACTACTTGTCGCATTAGTCATTTTTACAAAAGCTTTGAGATTATTGTGCAACGAATTAAACTTTAAATAGAATTTCATGGTTTCTCGAATACATTCTTTGCCCACCAAAATCTAAGATAATTTTTTTGTACCATTTACATTAGTAGGTAAAGCAATCTACTTTCACACCCTCTCGGTGCACTTCGTCACTACGTGGAAAGAAACAGGAAGAGTTGAGATAAGGAAGGAGGTTAAAAAATGTTGTTTTAATACTTTTACAATACAATTTAGGTTTAAATTTAAAAAAAAAAATGTTGAAAAGTAAAGACAAAAAAATATGTTTCAAACGTTAAAACATATTGGTTCTGTTTTGGTAAACCTTACCATTTGAATGGTTATAATACTGAACCGCACTGTGCCCGTGTGTCCATATCATCCTATTTAGTGCTTTGGTAATCGTCTGATCTACTGTCTATTTTAATAGATGGACGCTTAATTAAAAACGCTCTTGTCCAATTAGTGGCTGTTTAGTTAGATGATGATGGCCCCCCTCCCTCCACCCCGTCTATCGCACTGGCAACCCACCTTTTTATTTGCGGTTGCCGACTGATATTCTGGGAGATCCATTCATATCTGGGATATATGTATGTGCATATTTCACCGCGATGGCAAACATAGACTTTAGGTTGTCACGTAAGCTGGGAATATGCTTTAAACAAATACCGAAAAGTAGTAAATTGTTTGGAGAACCCTTCTCATGGGCAGCGTGACGGAAGTATCCGACAGGTCTTTCAGATAACCCGAATCTCTGAGTCTCTAAATCTGGCGATGAGCAAGCTCTATTTGGTTAGATTGAGGGGGTTACACAGAAAGAAATGGGATTTAAAAAATGAATGACTCTAAGAAGCAAACTATTTTGGCATCGGTTATTATCTATTTTTTTGAGAACATTTAATTTAGATGATATTTTAATAATACATTTGCAGTTATGAAATATCTTCTTTGAAATGAAAAAAAAAAGAAATACAAAATGTTGTTTCACATTTGATTCAAAAAACTTTAAGCTATAATTATTATTATAGGTCTTTTGGTTACCATCATATATCTTTTTTCGGTGAAGTGTAGAACCAGGAAAATCTGGCCGAAGAATGTATGGCCAATATGGGCCAGGTGCCAAGCCCCAAAGCGATGGCACGAGTCTGCGCTTAGCTCTAATTAGTTGATCGCTCTACCATGACTTGACCTTTGCCGATCGCCAATGCGCCCACTCCGCCCACTCTGCCCACTCAGTCCCCCGAAATAAAATTGACAAAATGCAAATAAACAAAAAAGGGAAAACTGAAAACTGAAACATTGACGAACAATGCACCCCACAACCAGCAACAGCACATACAAATCTCCCCAGCAATCCGCCTTTGAATAACTGCTGGTATTAGTCTATAGTCAGTAGTTAAACTGTATTATAGTTGCACACATAGTACGTATACGTACGTATATACACACACACACACGGTCGGAACCACAACCAAATCAAGCTCGGCGAAAAAACATAAAAAAAGTGAAAAAAATAGTGAGCTCGGTTTGGACTAAAGCGCTCCAAGCACCGATTCAGAATCAGTTTAACGTCAACGTCGGCGGCATCAAGACAATATACACACAACAACACAAGCCAAGCCATATCAAAAGAATCAACAAATTTCAAAAAAAAAAAAAAAAAAAAAAAAAAAAAGAAAAGAAAACACACAAATTTAGAGACGGAGAACCAGAAAAAGGAATATTAAGCACACACAATTTCCTGAAGCGATCAGATCAAGGAACGAGAACGGAAACAATAACGAAAACGAAAAGATCGAGATTAATGTTAGCGAGTTTGAAGACGCGAGTGAACGTGCGGAACGAAGCGAAACGAAACGGAACAAAACGGGACGAAGCGAAAAGAAACGCTGCGTAACGGGATCTGCCTTTGTGTTTTTGTTGTTGTGCCATAACCTTTAAGTGAGAGTGTCAAGAGCAAGGTCCAGAAACAATAGATAGAGACAGATTGCAGTCGAAATTCTACTGCTCGGTATTATTCCCAATATTCAAAATATGACTTCTTGAACGTACATAGATGTAGTAAATAAAGTTCCATTTCCACCAGCAATACAAGCTTCGACTTATGGAATCTTCGAGTTTAGGGAGTTCGACTGCTTCCTGTTCCACTCCATTCAATTTTCCTCCATTTTCTTTTTTTGTGGTTTATTTAAGAGCATCGATTATCCGGGAAGAGAGTCAAACATGTTGCATCGAACGTCGAGCCTCGTTCGAGCTTAATTTATTTACGCTTGGTTTTTTTTTTGATTTTTTAATAATTTTATTTAAATTGCCGGCAAGTTAACGCGCTGGGATATAAATAAGTCAAATCTGGTGATATTTAATTGGAGCATAAATACAAATAACTTCTATTCCGGCAGCCCATTGGGGTTATCAAAATAAGATTTCATTTCAACTCATGAAAATGCCATTTGTAAAAATAATTTAACTTTTATCAATCTTTTTTTTTTGAGAAATGATGTATAATTAAAAGTTGACCAATTAAATAAATGGTGATAAACGTGAGGGACCAACAAGTCGAACATTAAAATAAATGGATACTGGAAGTTTCTTTCAAATTCCAGTTTTATTAATTTTGCAATATTTTTTTCATTTACACTTTTCTTTAATATTTATCGTTCCTTAATCACTGCTCTTCTTTAAATCACTACTTGGAAAACTTGGAGAGAACATGCGGTTAGGTTTGTTTTTGCAGTAAGCATCACTGCATTGAACAATATATATCGTCATCCACAGATCGCCCGATTTTTAAACGGAACGAGATGCAGAAGCGTCTTCCCGAGGTGTGAGCCTGTGTGTGTGTGTGTGAGTGTGTGTGTGTGTGAGGTGTCCGTCCGTATGAGTGTGTGAGTGTGCCTCAATTGCCTCCGTTCCGAAAACCAAAAAACCGAAATCCGCCATCCAGCATCCACCATCCAGTATCCAGTATCCAGCATCCACCCACCACCACCCGTGAACGCCTCAACGTGCCATTGTGGAACTGGATCTTTAGCGCAAATTGAGACAGCGACAACTCTCGCCGTCTCACTTAAGTCGGGCCAAAGCCGAATCATAAAGAAAAGCAAAGAAAAGCAGAGAAAAGAAAAGAAAAGAAAAAGAGGAATAAAGCCAAAGGAGAAAAAAGAGAATAAATCAGTGAAGAGAAGTGAAGAGAAGAGAAGCATAAAGAAAAGAAAGGCGCACACACGGCGAAGGAAGGAAAAGGAAAGGAGAGGAAGGAAAAGAGAAAATCAACACCATTGAAGTGCGGATTGGGTTGGGATTGGGATTGAGATTGAGATTGAGATTGCGCTTCATACAACGGCGCATCGCAGTTTACGAGTGTCCATCACCACTACAACACCGTGCAGCAATGGAAGACGATTGGGGTCTTAGCAGCTCTACGGGTACATAACTAACTAACTAACTAACTAGCTAGCTAAGCTAAGCTAGGCTACCTGCAGACCAGGCTTAGACTAAGCATCAGCCTATCCATCCATCCATCCATATCCATCCTCCCTTGCATCTGTGTGTCCTCCCAACCAATTAACTCGACTTAAAAAAAAACAAATTAAATAAAAACCAAAACCAACTGTAAACGAAACCAAACGAGAGGAAAAACAAAAGATCGAGAACTACAGATAAGTTAATAATTTAACCCCCCACAAGTGTCCTCTTAACTAATTAACAAGAAAAAACAAAAAAAAAAAACAAAAAAAAAAAAAAAAAAAAAAACAGAAACATCCATCGTAGATTATGCAAATTTTTTTTTTCTGTTGTTTTTGATGTTTTGTGTGGCGGCGCCAGTGGCGGCGACAAAAAAGAAAGAAACAAATTTAATAAATCAATTAAGCCTCGAATGAAATGGAATAATTTTAATGCAATGCAATTAAGTGTGTGTGTGCGTGCAATGACGTCATAGGACCCCCGCCGACTCCCCACCCCACCCATACATGCACAAGCTAAGCCGATGAAAACGCTTTTTTCTGCACGATTTCACGCATACATATATGTATATATCTCAATATATACACATATATATATATGCCCGATGTTGGTGTATATGTGTGCGGATCTCTTTATGCCCCCGCGAGTGCATGTGTGTGTGTGTGTGTGTGTGTCTATTTGTGTGTGCGCGTAAACTAAGGCATATGGATCAATTGTCTAAATTGGCTCATTAAGTGAATCTTAATGACATTTACTATGCACAGTGACAACGAAAACTGTGCCTTACCCGCTTGTTTTTCGCTTTTTTTTTTGCCTTTCTTCTCTTTAAGTTGTTTCTTGTTAGTGTATTTCTATATTAGTTTCAGAATTTATTCACAGATAGCGTGATATGCGGCGTATGCGCAATGCATGCACCACAGGGCGCATGTGCAATGTTCTCAAATGTTTAACATATATGACAAAGTATTTATTTTTAACATTCTTAAAAAACTATTAGTTAATTTAGCAATGAGTTAGGAGAGAATTATTCAACAGTTTTTTGTATACTTAAACCCTTGTCTTTTTAAGCTAACTAAAAATGTTACTCTGTTTAAGGGGCTAGCTAGAATATATAATAAATCGTATATGATCCACTGTGATAGCCGGCTTTACAGCATGAGCAACACCAACTATCTATCTCAGCAAAGTTCTGTTGTATTCTCGTTCAATTTTTATGACTTCAGCAAATCCCTTTAGACCGAACAAACGATCACTTCTACTAGGTACAACCATTAACTCCTTTTGACGGTTAGAGCTTGTTTAAGATAAATACTTTTAACAAAGTCTCGGGTCTTTATTTGTTCATAACAAAAATTTGTTTGTTTTGATTTGAATCTGTTTTAAAGTTTCTCATTTAATATAATCATTTTGAAACTAAGCTAGTTAGAAAATTGATTCACATATTATTTGTTGATCTCCATAAGGTTTTTAAATAATAATCACGCTTAACTAATTGCAATAATAGCGAGAACTTTTTGAGAAACGCAGCAAATGTGTGATCGAATGGGTGAAACGTAATCGAATAAATTTTTGAGAGCAGCAGCAATCAAGCGTAAAGTCAAAACAAAATGTCGAGCAAGCTGTCAAAACCAAAAATAATTAAGCCAAATGAATCGAAATAAGCAAATTAAATCTTTGACCTTTTTTGTAGCCAATGCAGCGTTAGATTCGCCTGTTTTCGCCTGAGTTATTGGCTTGGGTGCAGGTAAACCCGCTGCCAGAAGATGCGGAGACAGCCCCAAGTAAGACTAACTAACTTAAAATGGGATATACACACACAAAAGCCACAAAGCTGGGTTCGTTCTCAAAATGTTTCTTTAAACGGTACACAAAAGTCATATTAAAACGCATTGTCACACTGATTTTCCTTACTGATGTTCAGAAATGAACTTACATATGGGTACACACATGGATCATTCAGATCTCTAGCGTATATCTATGTGGATTTTTTTTTTTTTGTGTGGGCTGCGAGGTGATGTGCTTCAAGTCTTTCTATAAAACAATTGTGACAACAAGGCGGATACGTAATATGCAGTCTCTCACCCACAGTGACTTGTCATTTAACATGGCTCTGTAAAGTTTTCTGTAGAACTGTAGTTTTTTTTACAAAGTAGCTCTACATTTATCCCTTCAGAAACAGCGTTATTGTAATTCGTGCTTAATAACGTTCATTCGTACACAAATCAAAATTGTTTGGCGTTCTAAGCTTCAGATATTACAAAAATCAATGTTAAAGCAACAATACCCCAAGTCTTGAGAATTCATTTACTTATTTAATATACAAAAGTATTAAATATTTTAAGCTGGAATAACGGCGTTTTGTATTGGCTGTTAACATATGATGAGTTTTATTTAAGGATAAGCCTTATTTCGTTTTGTAGACTTGTTGTATTTTGAAATAATGTAGTCCTACAAACAAACTAAAAGATTGGCTGGTTCGAAATTTTAATTTTTAAACGTGATTAATAAAATTTAAATAAAATGAAGAGTGGTAAACTTTAAACTTTTAATTTCGGAGTTCCAATCTAGAGAGTTCAATTACCCAAAATTTAAAGAATTCGATACGGTTTTACTGTTTATGCGTCGCTCATTCAATTAAAGTTAACTTAATTTACTGTGATTGAATGTTTTGCTGATTGTTATCCCCACTAAATTGATTATCATTAACACTCCTCTCTCCCTCTCGCTCCCACCCTCTTGCCGTCGCATTCACTCTAACTATGGAACGCTGTAAATGTTTATTAAGCATCATTGCATTATGCGGGCTGACAGTTACAAAATGCGTTTGTCTCAATTGACCCCGGACTCCGACTTTCTGTATCTCTCAATCTTCGTCTGCATTTGCGTCTCCATTTCTCGTCACATTATTTCTATATCTTCGCGCCCAACTCCGACTTCACACTGGGGTCCATTGCACATAAATAAGCTATACCAAGGCGAAAATTGCCATAAATAATATATAGAGGTTCTAAGATCTTTGACGCTATTGATATAATCGCCTATAGAGTGTATTAAGAAATTTAAAATCGATTATTTTTGGCTCCAAAAATAAAGAAAGCATTCTCTAAATTGATGTTCCTATTCCTTCACTAATGACTCATCGCAATGATAACATTTTTTTTAATTTAATTTAATCGACAGTCTTGAGAAATGAAAATCGGTTCAAATCGATTATTTAAATTAAGTCCTAAAAATTTTCTAAATTAATCGCAATGGCAATAGTTTCTGATTTAAATTTGCTTTATAGATTTTTCCATATTTTAAATAAACCATTTATGACTGTTTTAACTTATCTTAATAATAATATTTTCAGACAAAATTTAGCTTTTTTTATTGTTTGCAAATATTTTAAATAAACTTTTCTCATTTACATTTACAATTCCATAATGATAATGAAATTTCTATTATTGATTTAGTCATTGCTTTTACAAACAACCATTTGAAATGCCAATCGCTAATCCCCAGTGTTAATCGACTGGCCAAAAACCCAGAATCCGATGATTTCGATTGACAGATACAAAACACAATTCGTTTGATTGGGTCAGAGATACAATGGCGTATCATATGCTTGACTGATTATTGGCTTTGGCTATTTAATTACACTGGGCAACATTTGTAGGGTTTTGCACTGGGGTGTACCCAAAATTTAACTTCCGTCTATTCGGATCTCTTTAAGTTATATTTCGTTTGTATACTACAGCGACTTGAAGATTTCAAATTTCCAATTGGGCTATATTTGAGGTTTAATTTAATTTTAAATTTTATTTAAATCTCCATTATTACCTTTGGTATGGGTAAAAGGAAAATCTAAGGGATAAAACCTTAAAAAATGTCGGGAAAAATTAAAAAATTTAATTAGCAGATGTAATACGATTTGCTATTTGGTTTTTCTTTTGTTATAAATCCAACATTTTCTCTGTTGCACTGTGTTATTGACCTATGGTCATCGCAGCATCTATGTTCGATCTGTCCCCCGATCTGTCTGTGCCGAGTCTATATCTATGTCTATGTCTATGTCTATGTCTCTATCAAGTTATGCCGCTCAATCGATCGCCATGATGGGTGTTATTGTGGCTGGCTTTAGCCGTTGGGTTTGGCCAGCATTTATTGTTCCAATTTGCGGCCTCAAGTCGGTCCATCGCTTCTTGTTCTCGGCACGAGGTCCCAACTCAGGTGCTCTACACGGAAAAAAATGCAACAAACTTTGTGTCATTGCAGTTATAATATTCCTTTTCTTCTTACCGTTTTGTTGCCAATAAAAAAGTATATAGATTAAAAAAAAATTATTATAATTGAGTTAAATGTATTTTAAATTTAAATAAGATACGGAAAAACGTTTTTTTTTATTGTTGCATGGTATATGTTGATGACTTTAGAGTCACAGTAATTTGGAAATTAGTCTATCAAGAGCTATATGTATAATGTATTTAATAATTTTAGACTTACCTTTAATTACGTTTTTCAAAAAAAACGTATTATTTTAGTTTAAACTTAATTTAAAGAAAGAAAGACAACTTAAATTTGCTTTACATTAATAAATTATAAACGGAGTTAAAGAAAGAAATAAATATCCTTTAACAAAAATGCTTTGGTCAATATACTCATTAAATATGAACATATCCTTTTACAGCTTAGGATAGAAATTTAAGCACACTTCTGAAAGAATTATGCCGATCTTAAGAGACTGTAATCTGATTGGGATAAAACTTTTTTAAAAATTGAATTCGAAATATTGAAAATTAATCGAAATCACCGATTTCTTTCCGTGCCGATCTGCTTCGAACTTTTCGCGACTCGGCACGGTATTCGGTTTCAATTTCAGTTCGAGCTACTGTTTTGGAGGGGGTTTTTTGAGGGGGGAGGGGTTTCGGCGTGCGGCTTCAGTTTTGTTGTTTTGCAATTCAATTTGATGACATCAAAGGCGTATTTATCGCTTCCGCTGGCGATCGCTAGTTGGATCGGAGGTCCGTCGCATATTTGATCGATGATCAAGTACAAGTACAAGTACAAGCACATCATCCATGAAATGCGATAATAAGAAAGCGAGGCTTCGGCATCTGTTTCGGTTCTAATTCGGTTTCAGCTTCTGTTTCGGCTCCGCCACCAGATGTATCTGTATCTGTGGCCGCTGCTGTATCTGCATCTGTGTGGGCATATCGCTTAGCTGTATTTGTGTCTCGTGCAGTTCCCATTTCGGCTTCTGTTTTGAGTTTCAATATTCCTGGGCTGCCAGTCTTGTGGTCTTTCTTGCAGCTCTGCTGGTTTAGTTCATTACCGACGCTTGAGACTCCGACTTGTGACACACAAAAGAAAAATAAAAGAAAAGCGAGGCACTCGGGAAAATTCAGCGACTCGGAGACCCCATTTCCCCGATCGATTGAAGTTCGTTTTTTTTTTTTTTTTTGTTTTTGGGTGAAGTGAAACATTGTGGCAGTTGCAGAATGAAATGTGCGTAAAACAAGTGATTTGTATACCCAGCAATTTCTACAGGGCATAGGAAAGCACCGAAATCTTGTGATCAGGAATCAGAAAAGAAATTCGAAAACGTCTTATTATGAAATGATAATGAAATAATTTAAGTCGAAACTCTTATTTTAACATATTTATTGTGCTTACAAAACATTTATTGACTTCTTTTTAAAATTCCAAAAATAATTTTCTATTTTGTAAAAGGATATTCGTTCAATTTTCCAAAAAAAAAAAATAATAAAAGGAATACAACACAGAACATTGTCAGTGAACAAAAGTTTAAAAAGCTAAAACCTGAACAATTGATCGCAGGATTGAGGTCAGCTCTTTAAAAACAATTTGTGTAATTGATGACTTAAAGATAATTGGTATATCAATTGATATAGTCGCTTATGAGGACAAAAAAGAAACAAATTATACATGGAAGTATTCCAAAAAAACTAACAACGATGTTATTTATATTACTCAAATTTAAACATGAAATGTATTTTAAGAAAAAGTACGGCGAAAAGATTTTTTCAAACCTTGTGTCTTAAATGTCTTTTATATCATTAAAAATTGTCAAAAAAAACTTAATTAAAATCATTATTATGAAGTGTACTAAAACTTTTAAGAAATTGCTTTATTTTGGATTATTCTGGTAATAACAGAATCAGGCTTAAAATACAGGCGACAAATAATTATATACTGAAGTAGGTTAATAAAGATTTTAAACAGAAATATTGATTACTTATTTAATGGGTTACCTAAACTTCGTTTAATTATGGCAATCTATACATAGCTTAACTTGCCAAATTAAGTACAAAACAGTTTCTTACCAGACGATCTCGGCCTTTTGGTTTTAGGTTTATAGCACATTATTAAAATATGATATAATATAAGAACAGACAGAAAAACTTGCGCGAGGTGGCCCTTCAATCATCCATTTTTAAATGTATTTCACTGACTTACAACTTCAAATATATGTCTATATCAATTCACACAATTTGGAATACAATGTTGATATTTCTAAGTTCATGTCATTAGTCATTTTCTCAATTCCACTATTCTTGTATGTAAATAAATTGAATATAATGAAAAACAATTTTCCTAAAAATCATATTATTTCTTGCAGATGGAAATTGCACTCAGCCCGCCATCGATGACTTTCCCAGAGACCTGTTCTCGGAGGCGCAAAGACAGTCCGGTGCTGTTGTACTTCATGTTATAGCCAGTTTATATTTATTCGTAGCCTTAGCCGTAGTGTGTGATGAGTACTTTGTGCCAGCAGTTGAGAAAATATGTGCAGGTGAGTGAGTGGGCGGACTCTTTGAATACACAGTGCAACACAGAATACGTTACTTCATCTGGATACTTGAAAAATTATACACCTTACTTTACCTTGGTATTTACCTTACACAGGTCCAACAAACTAGTACTTTTTCCAACACTGTGTCGTTAAATTTACACTCCAAACCCTTAATACAGCTTCACAGTGTTATTAAGTCATCATTTTCCAACACTGCCTCTAGGATATAGCGATATTCACTAGTTTTGATCATTACATTCACAGCCCGAAACACTTCGAAACCCTAATAGTGTTGCACAGTGATATTTAACACATACACTCGCATAAATACATTACATATTTTATTGTTTACCAGCACTCAACATGTCCAACGATGTGGCGGGGGCCACGTTCATGGCCGCGGCCACCTCCGCCCCGGAGCTCTTCGTCAACGTGATAGGCACCTTCATCACGGAGGGCGATATCGGAGTGGGCACGATTGTCGGATCGGCCGTCTTTAACATCCTGGCGGTGGCCGCCTGTTGCGGCATCGGAGCTGGCATGGCAAGTCCACTCTAGACTACTCTCAAATCCCCCAATCGCCCTAATCCCCTCGTGCAATTTGTAGACCATACCCCTGGACTGGTGGCCACTGACGCGGGACAGCATCGCCTACGGGGTCACAGTGGCCATCCTCATCTGTGTGATGCACGACGAGCGCGTCGAGTGGTACGAGGCCCTCATCCTGGTTTCCCTGTACGCGGTCTATTTGGCGGTCATGTATTTCGACAAGACCTTCCAAAAGTGCGCCAAGGGTGAGTGATGTCCCTGGTTTTCAAAGATTTCAAATATTTTCTATTTGACTTAAATGCATTTTAATTATGTTAAATATGGTTTCAATTAAAATTCAGTTTTCAGATATTCAAGTCAATTCCGAAAATAGTCAAATTCAAAATTTTAATAATTTTATATAAAATTTCATTATAAAATTGAGCGCAAGTAATTTGGATTCACAATTTTTTTTAACTAGTGTAGGCTAACTAATACTAACTAACTAACTTTTACAAGTAATAATTAATATTTTAATTAATTAAGATACAAACAACAGGTACTACATATAAAAAAAAAACTAAACTTAATTTAAGTTATTTAATTTTTTTTAATAACAAATTAATTATTTCCATATGAATAGAGAATAAGTTTACATGTAATTTATATATTGCGTGCACGTTGTTTATTTATTGCAATCCCCATATAAGTACTTCAAAGTCTACAATCAAAGTGAGAGCACTACAAACACAACAGACATTGATTGACAAGTTTATAATAATAGCTGATAAATCAAGAAAAAATAATAATTTACTATTTGTAGGCACAAGCAATTTATTCTAAAGATAAATTTTCATTATCAAATTGTTAATTAAAGACTTAATGAAAAGGTTAACAGCTGTACCTAAAGGTTCATAGAATATTTTAAAGTCTACAACAACATTTTTCGAGTCTGCAGTTTCTGTTTATCGTTATCAATACTAAGTTTATACATTTATGTTTTAAATTTAAAACTGATTGAGTCGTTGGTACTACTTAGCTTGCCTTAAGTTCGGGTACACATGTGATATACAAGTACACAATACATTACTCTTCACAATACTACACAGGTGGCGTTAAACAGGCGCGTTCGCGCAGCCGGTCCTCCAACTGCAGCATACACACAAAGAACAGCAATGAGAAGGAACCAGGTACACACCTACAGACCTACAGACCTACAGACCTACATCTACACCTCCACACCAGTCCACAACAACAACCACACCCGCTGAGCCCTGACCTCTGACCTTGACCCATGACCTCTGTCCTTGACCCCTGACTCTGACATTTGACCCTTGACACCTGACCCTTGACACCTGACCTCTGACCTTAACCCCTGACCCTTTGACCCCTGACCTCTGACCCTTGACCGTGCTTTCTGAACAAATGAAAGGCTTATTTCCCTTTTTTACAATCACCTTCTCACAGAGCTCGTGGAGAATCGCATTTGCCAGAACATGGCCAACATCCAGCTGAACGGAGGACTCAACAATGACCAGGCCAAGGCCGCTGGCACCGCCACCACTTCCATCACCACCTCGACCATTACCACCTCCAGTGCAGGAGGAGCAGGAGCCGGAGCAGGAGCAGGTGGTGGAGGCGGAGGCGGAGGAGGAGCAGGTGGTAACGCTCCAGGAACTGGAGCCATTGCTCAGATGGCACCGCTCGATGGTGGCGAGGCAGAGGCCCAGCTGACTGCGGCTGCCGCTGGCGAGGATCGCGACGAGGAGGGCTACTCCCTGCTCACCTACCCGAAGGACAAGAGCTGCTTCGCCCAGTTCACCTGGCTCATCATCTGGCCCATCCACCTGCTCTTCCGCATCGCCATCCCCGACTGCAAGAAGGCCAAGAACAACAAGATCTTCCCGCTGACATTCATCATGTGCATCGTCTGGATCGGATCGCTGTCCTATGTGGTTGCGTGGATGATAACCATCATTGGTGAGATATGTGCCAAGATAGTGTTTCAAGCGGTTGAGTGGAAGAGGCTGCTACAGAAATTACTAGGGAATCGAAATCACATTTAAAGGTGTCCGAAAACTATCTATATGTTTCAAGTTCACAGATCTTGCTTTTACTTTATAAGTGTTTTCAAAATCCTACTGACTTTTGTAGCATTCCAATAATAATAATCACAGCAACAATAATTTTCCACAACCTTCACCAATACCATGTTTCAAATCAGAGATTTATGTTTTTGAAACTCTTCAACTTTTCTGTTGATCCACAATTTGGTTTTTAACTTTCATATATTTCGGCTATATTCTTATGTTGTTAAAGAATTAATCTATTTTAATGAAATATTTAAAATTAACGAGTGAGTCGAGAATTAATACATTTTTAAGCATATTTCTGCAGCTTAATAACCTGGTTTTGAATTCAATCATATTCGAATACTAATTTTTCTTTGAAAACCAATTTTTAAAGATCTATTATAGATTGTATTATTCGTTAAAGTACTACAAAAACAATTCGTTTTTCGTTTAACTGCTAATGTAACTCTGAAATCTGTAGTCCGTAGTAGATTTATTTTTTGTTTTTCTCCCAATTCAAATGAAATTGTTGGTAAATACACTAAGGCTACAGTGTCTCCTCCTACACAGGTGACACTCTCAAGATACCCGACTCGGTGATGGGGATTACGTTTTTGGCGGCTGGGACCAGTGTTCCCGAAGCGGTGTCCAGTGTGATTGTGGCGAAGCGCGGTGAGTGGTTGATCGGTTGATCGGTGGATCGATGGATTGGTGGCTACTTCATTGTTGTGCCGGTGACTATCCAAGTGTCTGTGTCTGTGTGTCCTAGGCCACGGATCGATGGGGATCTGCAACTCGATCGGTTCGAACACCTTCGACATCCTGCTGTGCTTGGGCGTGCCCTGGCTGATCAAGGCCGTCTTCTTCCCCATTAAGCCGGGCCAGAACTACGTGGCCATCAACTCGCACGGACTGGAGTACTCGGCGATCACCCTGCTGTCGACGCTCTTTCTGCTCTACCTGACCTTCTCCACGAACAAGTTCAAGCTGGACAAAAAGGTGGGCACCGCCTGCCTGGTGATGTATCTGGTCTTCATGGTCTTCGCCACCCTCATCGAACTCAATGTGTTCTTTGCCGTCAATCGGCCCACCTGTGGCCGATCATGAGATGGAAATGTATGGACTGGGTGTGGAAGTGGCAGTGAGAGTTTGGAGCTTGGAGCTTGGAGCTTGGAGCTTGGAGATTGCAGATTGCAGATTGCAGATTGAAGTTGTGTGGATGAATGGACGATGGACGATGGACGATGTACGATTCTGGATGAACATAAATGGAGGAAGGAATGGCGGCCATCGAGTGCTGGTGGTTCCGCTTTCCAAACCATTTGTTCCGGCAGCTGGCTGGAATCAAGGCCGAGTGCAGTCGTTTAATTAATTAATATGTATTTTCTGTTCTATTCTATCTACCTTGATAGTTGAGTTACGTTATACGTTATGCTGTTATTGTAATAATACTTTTTTTTTATTATTATTATTATTATTAAAGTAGACTCTTTCACACGACCTTCGGTTGAAAACCAAAAGACAAATGCAAATAGATGAGAAAAGATGAGAAGAAAATGAAAAGAAAAAAACGGAGCGGAGCGAAGGGAGAAACAAAAACCAAACCAAAACCAAAACCAAAACCAAAAAAATTCAATAATGTATTTATATGATTAATATATATGAGATTTAACAAAGAATTTATAGATGGTGAATATTATTAAGGGGGAAGAGTGTTGTTCAATAGGATTACCATTAACAATTACTAAAGTAAGTAAATTTTCGATCAGGTGATCCTTTGTTTAATCAATCGAACAACTGTTATTTTCTGCAAATTTTATTTAATGTATATTTCGATTTTCGGATAATATGAATGTAAATTTTTCAAGTCATTCTGTTTTATACTAAGCACCATGAATTTCGACTGGGATTCTTTCGGCATCAAACAATTCGAAGATGGTAAGTCCAAGATAGAACTCTTTGATTATTGTATATTTATAATTATTCCTATAAAAAAAATCTATCATGTCATACAAATACTTGAGTTTCTATAAATAAAACTATATTTTAACACAAAAACGGCCAGAGAGATCTTAAGAAAGTAAAAATAAATTTAAATTATTTAGCCCCTGAAGCTTGAGATTGAGATAAAAAGCGATTTAACAATGAAATTGTTATGCTTGTTAAGAATTGAAATCATTTCGTTATTTTAGGATGGATTCATTTTGATCCCGCATATCGGAGCAAACCGGACGTTGATGTCAATGATCTCAACTGCACTCTGCCGGCCATTGTGGAGTTCCCTAACTTTATGCGACGGAAAAGTTGTATAGCAGCCGTAGTGTGCTTTTTTCTATCTATGTATCTTTTCGTCTTCCTGGCGATTGTTTGTGATGATTACCTGGTGCCAGCCATGGAGCGTCTTTGCTACAGTAAGATATCATATTCATCATTTCCAATTTCGGGAAAGGGGGTAGGATTTTCCAGCTAAGTTAGGTACACGATCATGAATACCTAGGTAAAGTAAAAGTTGCAGCAATTTTTAAATTAATTTTAAATTGAATTCAATAATTTGTTTTATTATTTAATCTATGCTGATTTAATTGATTATTATTTATTTATTTATTTATTTTTAATACATTTTTAATTTTAATAATTAAAAAAAATAATTATTGTACCCTTTTTTTATCAAAAATAATTATTAAACATAATTTTTATATTTTTCGTCAAAATATGGTTATTCTTGAGAATTTTGTGCTTTTTACGGTCCCTGCTATAAAGTATTTATATTTTCTTGATCAGTATCCATATTAAATTGCAAGTGGTGTCATTAAAAAATATTTTTTTACTTTGTTTAAGGGAGTAACGGGTAATTGATAGTCGATACAGCGATTCCACTTGTTTATTAAGTGTTTGTAACGAAAGTCCCCAAACTTACAGCTCTGCGTATGACATATGATGTGGCCGGGGCCACTTTCCTGGCGGCAGCCACCTCGGCACCCGAACTGTTTGTAAACTTTGTAGGAACATTCGTCACTAGCGGGGACATCGGAGTGGGCACGGTCGTGGGCTCATCGGTGTTCAATATCCTGGTGATTGCCGCCGTTTGCGGCATTCTTTCTCAACCGGTGCGTATTACCTAATACTGTGTAGTCTATGTATCTCCTTTTTGTACCTCTTTGTAGGTTAAAGTGGGCTGGTGGCCGGTGACGAGGGACACCATCTGGTACCTCGTGGCCATCGCATCGCTCACAGTTGTGCTGTTGGACTCGCAGGTCATGTGGTACGAGGCATTGACCCTCTTTCTTCTCTACTTTGTGTATCTTATTCTACTGATCCTGGACCGACGGATCCAAAATTTGGTTCGCAGTAAGAAAAACCTTTCTTTTTTTGGGTCAAATCTATAATCTATGAAAGCAATATATTTATTTCAAGATTTAAATTTATTTATTCATGAAACATAAAAACAAATATCATTAATGTTTTTCAAAGCTGCAAAATTTTGTAATTTAAGTAAGCCTTAAGTATTCATAAGATCAAGTTAATCCTTGGATACATTTGTTGCGGGATTACCACCAATTAGATCTGATACAAGTAATCTTCCCCAGAGGAGCACATTGAGTCGGAGCTGTTGAACGAGGATCCGCTGACGCGCGAAGAGGAGCCTTTGAAAGGATTCCGGGATCACGTGTGCACTAAACCGGAGCCCGGATCCAACATCTGCAAGTGGATCTGGTGGGCGATCAAGTATCCGGCGGAACTGCTGCTCGCCTGCACCGTGCCCAGTGCCAGGTCCATATTCTTCCTCTCCATGCTAATGGCCGTCGTGTGGATCTCCGTGATCTCCTATATGCTCACCTGGTTCCTCACCGTTGTGGGCCACAACCTTAGCGTTCCGGACTCGATCATGGGACTCACTATACTGGCCGCCGGTACCAGTGTGCCCGAGGTAGCATCCTCCTACATCGTCTCCAAAAAGGGTGAGTGATTTCGAATGTACCATTCGTGCCTAAGAAACAAGTAAACTAGCTTTAAACTAACTAACTTAAGTCAACAATTTACTTCAGGAACAAGAGTAGAAATTGTTCTTTATGTTTAATATATATCTAAAACTATAAAACTACATGGATTTATATCATTTATTATTAAATTAATAATTAAACTTCATTACTGCTCATAGTTTATTTTTAACACTTTAACACACTTATTAAATTGAAATTTTCTTCTTTGTTTGGATGCAGGCTATGGCTCGATGGCCATCTGCAATGCCATTGGCTCGAACACCTTCGACCTTTTCGTGTGTCTGGGTCTGCCTTGGCTGATGAAGAGCCTGATCGTCCAGCATGAGATTGAGATCGATTCCACGGCCCTCACCATCACCACGGCCATGCTGGTGGGCACCGCCTTCGTCCTCTACGTGTGCCTCCTGGCCAACAGGTTCTGGCTGGGCAAGGTCGTCGGATGGATTTGCCTGGCCTCCTATGTGGTCTTCCTCATCGTCGCCTGTACACTGGAGATGCTGCTGGTCGCAACAAACAATTGCGACCTTGAGGAGGTTGGCTTTGTCTAGGATCATTATTTGGAAACTATTGTAACAAGTAATAAATTCAGCAGAAGTAATTAAAAAGAAAATTTATTTACTTGGGATGTATTTATACTGTTGCACAAAATAGTAAATCTAAGTAATTGGCTTATTGTATTCATGTAATATTTCCATATTTAAAATAAGTAAAATCATTTTACATATGGTTTTATATTTTTATTTACAGCAACAGGTCACCAAGAATGAATAAAATGTAAACTAAGATTGTTCAGCATTTTGCGATATTGAATATATATGTATTTTATTTAATTACTTGTGAATTTCTATTGTACTTATACTTATACTGACTCATTTTAAGGAGGTTTCTTAGAGATATGATTTAATAGTCGAAAAAAAATTTGCATTAGAAGGTGCTCTATATTTCAAAGAATTCTGTTTTTTTTGCCGCTAAAGAAAATTCGAAGACAACACACTTAACGGCCCTTTGGTACATCGCCATCTAAAGATATTTTGGTCAGACCCTGCCTCGATATCGATATGATCGATATGTCCTCCGATCGCGGATCAATTGGTTGATTCGAGGACAGGTGCCGAATCTATTCCCGGCGATCGAGCGATCGAGCGACAATCGTCACATGGTGACGTCAATTAGCCATGTTATGACATCAAGCGATCAGAGATACTTCAGTTTCACGCTGTCATTGGTAATACACCAGTGTATTTGGTCTCCTATAATTTATATTACAGATAAGGGTTTTTTTTTAATTTCTAAGGCCACTCGAAAGCGAATGCCTGGGGAAATATTTATACCAAAGATAGTGGCGCCTGGAACTCACAATCCCCGCTCCCATTTTGAAGTATGGGAATCCCTGGGTCTTCTTTATTCGTAAAATATTCAGTGGCAGGAAAAACCCTATCAAAAATGTACTTAAAAATTCTTCGCTCTTGAATTTTGCCTTGCAATTTCATAAAAAACACATATTAACTTGAATAGATTTTAGAGTTTCTATCATGGAAAACATAGTTGTGTTTCTAAAAACCTACATTAAATTTTTGGGTTTTTAATGCTTCCTTTGCTCAAATTTTTTTTCTTAAAAACAAATATGTATATATACATATAAATATAACTAATAAGACTTCTTTTAAAAGACTACTAGAACTTTTACACTGTTTTGTTTCCGATTTGTTGATTTTTAGGTGCACTAAAAATAATCTTTAAGTTATTATTTTTAAAAGTCCTCTGGATTCTTACCCTTTTTTTTAATTTAGTTGTTTTTTTAAGTGCATTACTTACTGGCCAGTGGCCTTGGGCGCTATCTCACTAAAAAAAAAAAAGTGTGCTAACCCCCATGGGCGTCTAATGGATTTTATGCTTTGGTTTCTTGATCTTTGTGCATTCGCAAAATGGAGGTGCCTCCAAAGATCAACCGGACATTTAATATTGCGATTAGATTCGTTTCCAGCGGATTTCGGGGAGCAGTTAAATTGGCAACAGCACCGAAAGGTAAGGAGTGCTTCAGAGTAAGTCGCCACTGGAACTGAAGTGGGTCCCTATCTTGATCAAACTCTCACTTACGATGTCCGCCAGTGGATTGACTCGTTTACCTGATAATCAATAATCGCACGGCCACTCGAGCCTTTATTTACTTTTGCCCAAAATGGAAAGTAAAGTATATAGTATATACTATACATCAATACCGCACCAGATTGAACGACATCACTCGTCGACCGTCGAAATTCGTTGGCCAGTGTAATTTAACTTAATTTAATTTTAAAAGCCACCTCGTAATCTGTGAGTGCTACCAAAATTTTAACAGCTTTTTTCAAAGATTACCCTATAATTACAATTACTCTATGGCCCGCCATAAGTTTCGAGTGCCCCAAATAAAATTGCTTCTGCCGCCCGAAAAAAAATTGATTATTTTCGCACACCACCCACGATTTTATTGCCAGGAATATACACATATATTAAGGTCTTTAACTTTCGATCATGTGATTTCGATTTGTTCTTTCTGTGAAATAGAAAATACTTACAAAGTCTAAGTGTCTTTCAGATATAAGTAATTCCGATGCATAGTTATATGGTTTTGTGTGCTACAATTAAAGATACAAATATAAATACAAGATTTTCATAGAAGAATATCCTAATATTGTTAA